ATAATGTCCTGCATTTCATAAAGATTACTGTTCATTGTTTCATCTTTCGCACATACAGTCTAAATTACTTGTTAAAAGTTCTTGCTTATTCTTCTGGATTTTTGTTTCGAAGTATATGAAGAAGGAATGAAGCTTTTCATTCTCTACTAACATAGATGATTGGATTCATGACTAACGAGTTTGGTTCTGTAGTTGTTTGAAGTGTTGTTGTGCCGATTTTGACATTTTTATTTTTTTATACAAATAAAAAAAAATAAAAAAATAAAACTAACTTTATTTTTTATTTCGGCGAAAATTCATGAAAATCAAGAGGTGTGAAAAAAGAGGTGAAAAAAACAAGGTGAGATCTCACCTCTTCACCTAAACTTATTTTTGGGTCATTTACGCTCATTACGAAGAATCTTGACAAAACATTTACGAAGAAGTCTGACAAAACATTTACGAAGAAGTCATGACAAAACATTTATGAAGAAGTCTTGACAAAACATTTACGAAGAAGTCTTGACAACAAGCATGTACGAAGAAGTCTTGACAAAAAACATTTACGAAGAAGTCTATGACAAAACATTTACGAAGAAGTCTTGACAAAACATTTACGAAAAGTCTTGACAAAGCATGTACGAGAAAGTCTTGACAAACATTTACGAAGGAGTCTTGACAAAACATGTACGCATGAAGTCTTGACCAAACATGTACGATGAAGTCTTGACAAAACATTTACGAAGAAGTCTTGACAAAACATGTACGAAGAAGTCTTGACAAAACATGTACGATGAAATCATGACAAACTTTACGAAGAAGTCTGACAAAACATGTACGATGAAGGTCTTGACAAAACATTTACGAAGAAGTCTTGACAAAATTTACAGAAGTATTGACAAAACATGTACGATGAAGTCTTGACAAAACATTTACGAAGAAGTCTTGAAAAAAACATGACGAAGAAGTCTTGACAAAACATTTACGAAGAAGTCTTGACAAATTCACGAGGTGAAAAAAGAGGTGAAAAAACGTGTTAGATCTAACATTCTAACATAAACTTTATTTTTGGTGTAAATTTCATGATTTTCGAGAGTTTTCGACCATGTTAGAAAACGTGTTAGAAAACGTGTTAGATCTAACATTCTAACATAAATTATATTTTTGGTGTAAATTTCATGATTTTCGAGAGTTTTAGACCATGTTAGAAAACGTGTTAGATCTAACATGCTAACATAAACATTCTCGTCAAATACAAAAAAATGAAAAAAATGACACTTTTTCATTAGATAACTGTTATTTTTTGACGAAGTGAAGGTTGACACTTTGTCAAAAAAATCCCTGAAATCATATCTTTTATACAAAAAAATGAAAAAATGACACTTTTTCATTATATAACTGTTATTTTTTGACGAAGTGAAGAGTAACACTTCGTCAAAAAAATCCCTGAAATCATATCTTACATACAAAAAAATACAAAATAAAACTAACTTTATTTTTTCTATCTTAAGGAAATTCATGACAAATTCAAGAGGTGAAAAAAAGAGGTGAGAAAGGAGGTTAGATCTAACCTTCTACCCTACATTATATTTTTGGGTCCTTTACACTCATTACGAAGAAGTCTTGACAAAACATGTACGTTCATGTTTGACAAAACATTTACGAAGAAGTCTTGACAAAACATGTACGTTCATGTTTGACAAAACATTTACGAAGAAGTTTTGACAAATCATTTACGATGAAATCATGACAAATTCAAGAGGTGAAAAAAGAGGTGAGAAAGGAGGTTAGATCTAACCTTCTACCCTAAATTATATTTTTGGGTCCTTTACACTCATTACGAAGAAGTCATGACAAAACATGTACGATGAAATCATGACAAATCATTTACGAAGAAATCATGACAAAAGGCATGTACTTCATGTTTGACAAAACATTTACGATGAAAGTCATACCAAAACATGTAACGATGAGTTTGTGACCAAATATTTACGATGAAATCATGAAAAAACATTTACACTCTTACGATGAAGAAGTCATGAACCAACATTTTACGAAGAAGTCTTGACACAAAACTATTTACGAAGAAGTTTTGAAAAATTCAAGAGGTTAGATTCTAACTTCCTAACCTAAATTATATTTTTGGTCCGGGACACAACTTTCTCTCAGATAGGGCTGTAGCGATACTCTTTGCGTAAGCGGATTCAGACCTTCTTCGACCCTTGTCTCTTCTTCGAGTTTGATTTGAAGATTGGGCATTGCTGGAACAACCAAGGGTTGGGGAAGTAAGGCATAGGCTGAGGAAGGAGTTCGGGAAGCCCTTGTGGTGGTAGTAACCTTGAGGTGGAAATTGGTGAATATTCGAGGTAAACTTGCTGGAACTGAGTTGCTGAGCGAGACTGTTGGTGGTTTCTTTTAGGTTCCTTCTGGTTTGGAATGGACTGGGTTGGTGGGGACGTTTGGACATTCGTTGTATGTCCTGTCGGAAAGGAAAACCTTTCCCTGTCGAAGAAAAAACTTTTCTGTCGGAAGGAAAAACTTTTTCTGTCGGAAGGAAAAACTTTTCTGTCGGAAGGAAAACTTTTTCGTTGTCGGAAGAAAACTTTTTCTGAAGTTCGATCAAAAAGTTCTCAATTTCTCGAAAATTTTGAATGGTTTACGGACGGACAACTAGAAAATTTTTTCCTGTCGGAAGGAAAAATTTTTTCTTCGGCAGGAAAAACTTTTGTCTGTCGGAAGGAAAGGACTGCGGAATGCAGAAGGAATTTGACGATGCAGATTTACCTAATTTAAATTAACGACTGCGTAAAAGACTACTTGCCGCAAGGTCATGAAGCCCAAGGGTCAAGTTCACGCTATAATCGTGGAAGGGCTGCTTGAATCTCGATGATTTCGACTGGAATTCCAATTCAGAATACCAGAAAACATCCTTTCGACGACATAAAGCAAGCAAAGAAGGAAGCTCTTGTTAAGTCTTTGCAAAGCGCCCAATGAGATACAACTTCCAAACAGAGAGAGTCCAATTCACGAATTATACAAATTTCAGAGCACTGTTCCACTTCTCGGTTTAGCCGTTCTACCATAACCTGGTGAAGGCGACAATCCAACCAGTTCAGTAAACCTTAACGTTAACTTCACTTTTTATCGTTTGTGAAAGTGTCAAATAAATTGTTTTCATGATTTATCTACGATGTTAGAAAAAATGTTAGAAAACGTGTTAGCATCTAACATGCTAACATAAACATTATTATATAATACGAATTTACTTTTTTCAGCACTTTCCGTAGATTGATATATGAAAGACAAATTCGAGATAAAAGTCATAGCTACAATGGAATAAAGTTGCACACCAATTTTGTTGTGAACGCAAACTTGAAAGGTTCAGAGAAACTGTTACTAGGTGGTAGACGTAGAATTTAGAGCCAAGCTCAAAAAAGTCCTTAACCAAATACATAGGAAAACTATTGTTGCTTGAACTGAAACTGCATGATCACATAAACATTTTTGAGGGTCAAACACGTTTTCTATAAACTGTCAAATCTGCTGGTGGAAGTATAAATTTAAATGGACCATGCTGGGTGTTAATGGTTCGTTCTGGTTTAGTAACGAAGAAATTGTGCCCAAGGAACGTTTGTCTACTTTCCAAAATAAAAAACTCTGTATCTCTTGGAGGGTTAATTTCCAATCTTTGAAATGAAACTGGTGGAGTATCATCTTTCATATTCAGTTTCAGATAGTATGATTCCATTAGTAAAGCGAGTCGTATTTTCTTGAAATCCCAATAATTATTTGTTCATTTGAACGTTTGAAAGTCATTTAGAGTTTTCTCAAGACTTTCGTCTGAACGAACTGTAAGATTCTCAATTTCGCATCAAATTTGTCTAATAGACCCATCAGATACCTTATATACTGCCCATGAAAATATACTGCGATACATAAATTGCGTAGTTTCTATTTGAAAACCAACTACTTCTAAATCCTATTGCCTTTTGCATCTGAAGGACTTTGAAGCCAACGAATTGGATAGGTCAAACCTGATATGCTCGGATGAATTTTCTTCATCTGAAAATAGTCCTACAGATTTTGTAAAGAATATAGTCTAAACGTTTTGTATCTGCTACTTTTGTTCTTTGTTTTTCAACCTGAAGCATTTAATATATGTAAAAATATATTGTTTTAAAAAATGGTATCCATTTCATATTTTCTCATCTAACAAACAAGTTTCCAACGGTCTTCCTCAAACAAACTCAGCGTACATTTTCAAATAAAATTAAAAAATGTCACTTTTTTAAAAATAAATTACGTCATGGCAATGTTTTAAACACATCGAAAGGCATGGTGCCATTAAGACGTTCTTCTTCTAACCTCTCTAGTCTGTGGATAAAAATTTGCACAGTGCTGTTTCCAAATCCATTTCGTAGCGAAGACCAGACAATTTGGTCATAGAGCTTTTATGGGTCTTCCCTTCCTATATTTAAACTTCGTCGAAATCATCCAACCAATCTTTGCAACTCTCTTTTATTCTAGCAGATTTTCTATCCAATTCTATATGGGGCATTTAATATAAAAATAAAAAAATATTTTTTCTTTTACTTTACATAACCACCTGCTGCCATAAGTCTTGACGCCAACCCATACCAGCTAATGAAGGTTGCTTGGTTTTAGTTTCCAAAACTAAACTTTGGTTTTGGTTTATCTTCAGTTTTGTTTTTTCTTCTTCTATCGGTTTTTCGTCACTTTTCGTTCCTCTGACTTTACTCACTTGCAGGAACAGTTGTGTCGTCAACACTCATAAATATCATATGCCATATTGTTTTTGTTTTTCTTCAAACTTCTCTGTGTTTTGTTGTAAAGTTATAGAATAGTTCGAACTCTAGTCAATAGAGATGTCTCGTATAATGAAACCCGTACGAATGTGTCAGTGAAGTTAAACGTTTACATCATCTCTCTTTATTCAAGACAAATTGTCCAACAATTTGAGTCTTCTTCTTCTCAAAACACAACAGAAACATCTGAAACAGTTGTCCAAACAGCCAGAACAAGTTTCACATAGTTCTACAATTCAAGACAAATTGTCCAACAATTTGAGTTCTTCTTCTTCTCAAAACACAACAGAAACATCTGAAACAGTTGTCCAAACAGCACCAGAACAAGTTTCACATAGTTCTACAATTCAAGACAAATTGTCCAACAATTTGAGTTCTTCTTCTTCTCAAAACACAACAGAAACATCTGAAACAGTTGTCCAAACAGCACCAGAACAAGTTTCACATAGTTCTACAATTCAAGACAAATTGTCCAACAATTTGAGTTCTTCTTCTTCTCAAAACACAACAGAAACATCTGAAACAGTTGTCCAAACAGCACCAGAACAAGTTTCACATAGTTCTACAATTCAAGACAAATTGTCCAACAATTTGAGTTCTTCTTCTTCTCAAAACACAACAGAAACATCTGAAACAGTTGTCCAAACAGCACCAGAACAAGTTTCACATAGTTCTACAATTCAAGACAAATTGTCCAACAATTTGAGTTCTTCTTCTTCTCAAAACACAACAGAAACATCTGAAACAGTTGTCCAAACAGCACCAGAACAAGTTTCACATAGTTCTACAATTCAAGACAAATTGTCCAACAATTTGAGTTCTTCTTCTTCTCAAAACACAACAGAAACATCTGAAACAGTTGTCCAAACAGCACCAGAACAAGTTTCACATAGTTCTACAATTCAAGACAAATTGTCCAACAATTTGAGTTCTTCTTCTTCTCAAAACACAACAGAAACATCTGAAACAGTTGTCCAAACAGCACCAGAACAAGTTTCACATAGTTCTACAATTCAAGACAAATTGTCCAACAATTTGAGTTCTTCTTCTTCTCAAAACACAACAGAAACATCTGAAACAGTTGTCCAAACAGCACCAGAACAAGTTTCACATAGTTCTACAATTCAAGACAAATTGTCCAACAATTTGAGTTCTTCTTCTTCTCAAAACACAACAGAAACATCTGAAACAGTTGTCCAAACAGCACCAGAACAAGTTTCACATAGTTCTACAATTCAAGACAAATTGTCCAACAATTTGAGTTCTTCTTCTTCTCAAAACACAACAGAAACATCTGAAACAGTTGTCCAAACAGCACCAGAACAAGTTTCACATAGTTCTACAATTCAAGACAAATTGTCCAACAATTTGAGTTCTTCTTCTTCTCAAAACACAACAGAAACATCTGAAACAGTTGTCCAAACAGCACCAGAACAAGTTTCACATAGTTCTACAATTCAAGACAAATTGTCCAACAATTTGAGTTCTTCTTCTTCTCAAAACACAACAGAAACATCTGAAACAGTTGTCCAAACAGCACCAGAACAAGTTTCACATAGTTCTACAATTCAAGACAAATTGTCCAACAATTTGAGTTCTTCTTCTTCTCAAAACACAACAGAAACATCTGAAACAGTTGTCCAAACAGCACCAGAACAAGTTTCACATAGTTCTACAATTCAAGACAAATTGTCCAACAATTTGAGTTCTTCTTCTTCTCAAAACACAACAGAAACATCTGAAACAGTTGTCCAAACAGCACCAGAACAAGTTTCACATAGTTCTACAATTCAAGACAAATTGTCCAACAATTTGAGTTCTTCTTCTTCTCAAAACACAACAGAAACATCTGAAACAGTTGTCCAAACAGCACCAGAACAAGTTTCACATAGTTCTACAATTCAAGACAAATTGTCCAACAATTTGAGTTCTTCTTCTTCTCAAAACACAACAGAAACATCTGAAACAGTTGTCCAAACAGCACCAGAACAAGTTTCACATAGTTCTACAATTCAAGACAAATTGTCCAACAATTTGAGTTCTTCTTCTTCTCAAAACACAACAGAAACATCTGAAACAGTTGTCCAAACAGCACCAGAACAAGTTTCACATAGTTCTACAATTCAAGACAAATTGTCCAACAATTTGAGTTCTTCTTCTTCTCAAAACACAACAGAAACATCTGAAACAGTTGTCCAAACAGCACCAGAACAAGTTTCACATAGTTCTACAATTCAAGACAAATTGTCCAACAATTTGAGTTCTTCTTCTTCTCAAAACACAACAGAAACATCTGAAACAGTTGTCCAAACAGCACCAGAACAAGTTTCACATAGTTCTACAATTCAAGACAAATTGTCCAACAATTTGAGTTCTTCTTCTTCTCAAAACACAACAGAAACATCTGAAACAGTTGTCCAAACAGCACCAGAACAAGTTTCACATAGTTCTACAATTCAAGACAAATTGTCCAACAATTTGAGTTCTTCTTCTTCTCAAAACACAACAGAAACATCTGAAACAGTTGTCCAAACAGCACCAGAACAAGTTTCACATAGTTCTACAATTCAAGACAAATTGTCCAACAATTTGAGTTCTTCTTCTTCTCAAAACACAACAGAAACATCTGAAACAGTTGTCCAAACAGCACCAGAACAAGTTTCACATAGTTCTACAATTCAAGACAAATTGTCCAACAATTTGAGTTCTTCTTCTTCTCAAAACACAACAGAAACATCTGAAACAGTTGTCCAAACAGCACCAGAACAAGTTTCACATAGTTCTACAATTCAAGACAAATTGTCCAACAATTTGAGTTCTTCTTCTTCTCAAAACACAACAGAAACATCTGAAACAGTTGTCCAAACAGCACCAGAACAAGTTTCACATAGTTCTACAATTCAAGACAAATTGTCCAACAATTTGAGTTCTTCTTCTTCTCAAAACACAACAGAAACATCTGAAACAGTTGTCCAAACAGCACCAGAACAAGTTTCACATAGTTCTACAATTCAAGACAAATTGTCCAACAATTTGAGTTCTTCTTCTTCTCAAAACACAACAGAAACATCTGAAACAGTTGTCCAAACAGCACCAGAACAAGTTTCACATAGTTCTACAATTCAAGACAAATTGTCCAACAATTTGAGTTCTTCTTCTTCTCAAAACACAACAGAAACATCTGAAACAGTTGTCCAAACAGCACCAGAACAAGTTTCACATAGTTCTACAATTCAAGACAAATTGTCCAACAATTTGAGTTCTTCTTCTTCTCAAAACACAACAGAAACATCTGAAACAGTTGTCCAAACAGCACCAGAACAAGTTTCACATAGTTCTACAATTCAAGACAAATTGTCCAACAATTTGAGTTCTTCTTCTTCTCAAAACACAACAGAAACATCTGAAACAGTTGTCCAAACAGCACCAGAACAAGTTTCACATAGTTCTACAATTCAAGACAAATTGTCCAACAATTTGAGTTCTTCTTCTTCTCAAAACACAACAGAAACATCTGAAACAGTTGTCCAAACAGCACCAGAACAAGTTTCACATAGTTCTACAATTCAAGACAAATTGTCCAACAATTTGAGTTCTTCTTCTTCTCAAAACACAACAGAAACATCTGAAACAGTTGTCCAAACAGCACCAGAACAAGTTTCACATAGTTCTACAATTCAAGACAAATTGTCCAACAATTTGAGTTCTTCTTCTTCTCAAAACACAACAGAAACATCTGAAACAGTTGTCCAAACAGCACCAGAACAAGTTTCACATAGTTCTACAATTCAAGACAAATTGTCCAACAATTTGAGTTCTTCTTCTTCTCAAAACACAACAGAAACATCTGAAACAGTTGTCCAAACAGCACCAGAACAAGTTTCACATAGTTCTACAATTCAAGACAAATTGTCCAACAATTTGAGTTCTTCTTCTTCTCAAAACACAACAGAAACATCTGAAACAGTTGTCCAAACAGCACCAGAACAAGTTTCACATAGTTCTACAATTCAAGACAAATTGTCCAACAATTTGAGTTCTTCTTCTTCTCAAAACACAACAGAAACATCTGAAACAGTTGTCCAAACAGCACCAGAACAAGTTTCACATAGTTCTACAATTCAAGACAAATTGTCCAACAATTTGAGTTCTTCTTCTTCTCAAAACACAACAGAAACATCTGAAACAGTTGTCCAAACAGCACCAGAACAAGTTTCACATAGTTCTACAATTCAAGACAAATTGTCCAACAATTTGAGTTCTTCTTCTTCTCAAAACACAACAGAAACATCTGAAACAGTTGTCCAAACAGCACCAGAACAAGTTTCACATAGTTCTACAATTCAAGACAAATTGTCCAACAATTTGAGTTCTTCTTCTTCTCAAAACACAACAGAAACATCTGAAACAGTTGTCCAAACAGCACCAGAACAAGTTTCACATAGTTCTACAATTCAAGACAAATTGTCCAACAATTTGAGTTCTTCTTCTTCTCAAAACACAACAGAAACATCTGAAACAGTTGTCCAAACAGCACCAGAACAAGTTTCACATAGTTCTACAATTCAAGACAAATTGTCCAACAATTTGAGTTCTTCTTCTTCTCAAAACACAACAGAAACATCTGAAACAGTTGTCCAAACAGCACCAGAACAAGTTTCACATAGTTCTACAATTCAAGACAAATTGTCCAACAATTTGAGTTCTTCTTCTTCTCAAAACACAACAGAAACATCTGAAACAGTTGTCCAAACAGCACCAGAACAAGTTTCACATAGTTCTACAATTCAAGACAAATTGTCCAACAATTTGAGTTCTTCTTCTTCTCAAAACACAACAGAAACATCTGAAACAGTTGTCCAAACAGCACCAGAACAAGTTTCACATAGTTCTACAATTCAAGACAAATTGTCCAACAATTTGAGTTCTTCTTCTTCTCAAAACACAACAGAAACATCTGAAACAGTTGTCCAAACAGCACCAGAACAAGTTTCACATAGTTCTACAATTCAAGACAAATTGTCCAACAATTTGAGTTCTTCTTCTTCTCAAAACACAACAGAAACATCTGAAACAGTTGTCCAAACAGCACCAGAACAAGTTTCACATAGTTCTACAATTCAAGACAAATTGTCCAACAATTTGAGTTCTTCTTCTCAAAACACAACAGAAACATCTGAAACAGTTGTCCAAACAGCACCAGAACAAGTTTCACATAGTTCTACAATTCAAGACAAATTGTCCAACAATTTGAGTTCTTCTTCTTCTCAAAACACAACAGAAACATCTGAAACAGTTGTCCAAACAGCACCAGAACAAGTTTCACATAGTTCTACAATTCAAGACAAATTGTCCAACAATTTGAGTTCTTCTTCTTCTCAAAACACAACAGAAACATCTGAAACAGTTGTCCAAACAGCACCAGAACAAGTTTCACATAGTTCTACAATTCAAGACAAATTGTCCAACAATTTGAGTTCTTCTTCTTCTCAAAACACAACAGAAACATCTGAAACAGTTGTCCAAACAGCACCAGAACAAGTTTCACATAGTTCTACAATTCAAGACAAATTGTCCAACAATTTGAGTTCTTCTTCTTCTCAAAACACAACAGAAACATCTGAAACAGTTGTCCAAACAGCACCAGAACAAGTTTCACATAGTTCTACAATTCAAGACAAATTGTCCAACAATTTGAGTTCTTCTTCTTCTCAAAACACAACAGAAACATCTGAAACAGTTGTCCAAACAGCACCAGAACAAGTTTCACATAGTTCTACAATTCAAGACAAATTGTCCAACAATTTGAGTTCTTCTTCTTCTCAAAACACAACAGAAACATCTGAAACAGTTGTCCAAACAGCACCAGAACAAGTTTCACATAGTTCTACAATTCAAGACAAATTGTCCAACAATTTGAGTTCTTCTTCTTCTCAAAACACAACAGAAACATCTGAAACAGTTGTCCAAACAGCACCAGAACAAGTTTCACATAGTTCTACAATTCAAGACAAATTGTCCAACAATTTGAGTTCTTCTTCTTCTCAAAACACAACAGAAACATCTGAAACAGTTGTCCAAACAGCACCAGAACAAGTTTCACATAGTTCTACAATTCAAGACAAATTGTCCAACAATTTGAGTTCTTCTTCTTCTCAAAACACAACAGAAACATCTGAAACAGTTGTCCAAACAGCACCAGAACAAGTTTCACATAGTTCTACAATTCAAGACAAATTGTCCAACAATTTGAGTTCTTCTTCTTCTCAAAACACAACAGAAACATCTGAAACAGTTGTCCAAACAGCACCAGAACAAGTTTCACATAGTTCTACAATTCAAGACAAATTGTCCAACAATTTGAGTTCTTCTTCTTCTCAAAACACAACAGAAACATCTGAAACAGTTGTCCAAACAGCACCAGAACAAGTTTCACATAGTTCTACAATTCAAGACAAATTGTCCAACAATTTGAGTTCTTCTTCTTCTCAAAACACAACAGAAACATCTGAAACAGTTGTCCAAACAGCACCAGAACAAGTTTCACATAGTTCTACAATTCAAGACAAATTGTCCAACAATTTGAGTTCTTCTTCTTCTCAAAACACAACAGAAACATCTGAAACAGTTGTCCAAACAGCACCAGAACAAGTTTCACATAGTTCTACAATTCAAGACAAATTGTCCAACAATTTGAGTTCTTCTTCTTCTCAAAACACAACAGAAACATCTGAAACAGTTGTCCAAACAGCACCAGAACAAGTTTCACATAGTTCTACAATTCAAGACAAATTGTCCAACAATTTGAGTTCTTCTTCTTCTCAAAACACAACAGAAACATCTGAAACAGTTGTCCAAACAGCACCAGAACAAGTTTCACATAGTTCTACAATTCAAGACAAATTGTCCAACAATTTGAGTTCTTCTTCTTCTCAAAACACAACAGAAACATCTGAAACAGTTGTCCAAACAGCACCAGAACAAGTTTCACATAGTTCTACAATTCAAGACAAATTGTCCAACAATTTGAGTTCTTCTTCTTCTCAAAACACAACAGAAACATCTGAAACAGTTGTCCAAACAGCACCAGAACAAGTTTCACATAGTTCTACAATTCAAGACAAATTGTCCAACAATTTGAGTTCTTCTTCTTCTCAAAACACAACAGAAACATCTGAAACAGTTGTCCAAACAGCACCAGAACAAGTTTCACATAGTTCTACAATTCAAGACAAATTGTCCAACAATTTGAGTTCTTCTTCTTCTCAAAACACAACAGAAACATCTGAAACAGTTGTCCAAACAGCACCAGAACAAGTTTCACATAGTTCTACAATTCAAGACAAATTGTCCAACAATTTGAGTTCTTCTTCTTCTCAAAACACAACAGAAACATCTGAAACAGTTGTCCAAACAGCACCAGAACAAGTTTCACATAGTTCTACAATTCAAGACAAATTGTCCAACAATTTGAGTTCTTCTTCTTCTCAAAACACAACAGAAACATCTGAAACAGTTGTCCAAACAGCACCAGAACAAGTTTCACATAGTTCTACAATTCAAGACAAATTGTCCAACAATTTGAGTTCTTCTTCTTCTCAAAACACAACAGAAACATCTGAAACAGTTGTCCAAACAGCACCAGAACAAGTTTCACATAGTTCTACAATTCAAGACAAATTGTCCAACAATTTGAGTTCTTCTTCTTCTCAAAACACAACAGAAACATCTGAAACAGTTGTCCAAACAGCACCAGAACAAGTTTCACATAGTTCTACAATTCAAGACAAATTGTCCAACAATTTGAGTTCTTCTTCTTCTCAAAACACAACAGAAACATCTGAAACAGTTGTCCAAACAGCACCAGAACAAGTTTCACATAGTTCTACAATTCAAGACAAATTGTCCAACAATTTGAGTTCTTCTTCTTCTCAAAACACAACAGAAACATCTGAAACAGTTGTCCAAACAGCACCAGAACAAGTTTCACATAGTTCTACAATTCAAGACAAATTGTCCAACAATTTGAGTTCTTCTTCTTCTCAAAACACAACAGAAACATCTGAAACAGTTGTCCAAACAGCACCAGAACAAGTTTCACATAGTTCTACAATTCAAGACAAATTGTCCAACAATTTGAGTTCTTCTTCTTCTCAAAACACAACAGAAACATCTGAAACAGTTGTCCAAACAGCACCAGAACAAGTTTCACATAGTTCTACAATTCAAGACAAATTGTCCAACAATTTGAGTTCTTCTTCTTCTCAAAACACAACAGAAACATCTGAAACAGTTGTCCAAACAGCACCAGAACAAGTTTCACATAGTTCTACAATTCAAGACAAATTGTCCAACAATTTGAGTTCTTCTTCTTCTCAAACACACAACAGAAACATCTGAAACAGTTGTCCAAACAGCACCAGAACAAGTTTCACATAGTTCTACAATTCAAGACAAATTGTCCAACAATTTGAGTTCTTCTTCTTCTCAAAACACAACAGAAACATCTGAAACAGTTGTCCAAACAGCACCAGAACAAGTTTCACATAGTTCTACAATTCAAGACAAATTGTCCAACAATTTGAGTTCTTCTTCTTCTCAAAACACAACAGAAACATCTGAAACAGTTGTCCAAACAGCACCAGAACAAGTTTCACATAGTTCTACAATTCAAGACAAATTGTCCAACAATTTGAGTTCTTCTTCTTCTCAAAACACAACAGAAACATCTGAAACAGTTGTCCAAACAGCACCAGAACAAGTTTCACATAGTTCTACAATTCAAGACAAATTGTCCAACAATTTGAGTTCTTCTTCTTCTCAAAACACAACAGAAACATCTGAAACAGTTGTCCAAACAGCACCAGAACAAGTTTCACATAGTTCTACAATTCAAGACAAATTGTCCAACAATTTGAGTTCTTCTTCTTCTCAAAACACAACAGAAACATCTGAAACAGTTGTCCAAACAGCACCAGAACAAGTTTCACATAGTTCTACAATTCAAGACAAATTGTCCAACAATTTGAGTTCTTCTTCTTCTCAAAACACAACAGAAACATCTGAAACAGATGTACAACCAATAGAACAAGATATAGTCTCTCAAACTACAAGTATGTTAACAAGAGCACAATTTCAAGATTTAATTTCTCTTGAACAATATTCGAGTAACGAAACACAAAGCGACGGCTGTAACCTCTCGCTACCCGAATCCATTCAAAGAAAATACGCCATGAAAAGACTGAAATTGTTGTATAAACTTCTTAACAATTGGGGGTCGAAGACAACTCAGATTATAGTGAAATGTTTAACAAAGTCATAGAATCTCTTAAACCAATTGAAAACGACATAAAAAATCCCGGTGTTCTTGTAGACCTTTTCGCCTCAAAATTACCAGTTACAACTAATCTAATAGCAACACAAGCTATAGAGCAATTTATTTTATGTTTTCCCAAGCAATATAGACAACACCTGAGGGAAACAAGAATAGGAAAATTTCAATTGGTGTATCCTACAACATACAACTATTACGAAGAAGCAAATGAATATGGAGAACTCTCGTTCCATTTCACACTTTCAGTTCCTGAGGGAGAAGAAAAAGCAATCTATCATGTACAATCTCTTGCAGGATGTGAAGGAAAACCTCACATAATAACTACTGTTGCAATTGACAAACCTGCAAGAGTCGAAGACGATGTTTTGTTCGCGTCCATTGCTGGTTTTGGCATGGGAGAACCAATTCCAATTTCCCATTTCACAGAATACTCAGCACAACATTTTCAAAATGTAGAATTCGTGTTCTACGACCATCAAAAGTTCCTGCTAACAAAACCAAAGAAACAATTTGTCTCAATATTTGTTGCTGGTCATGTGGCTGACAAAGAGCCATCAGATACTGACTATGAAGAAGAGGAGGAGGAAGAAGAAAACGATAGCGATGTCGTTCTTATCGAATAAAAACTTTAATTTTTTACTATATAATTTTTTTAGTTCTCCTCTAGGTTTTCTTATGGGCTAGAGGGCACGAAGTGCCTGGAAGCCCCACCTACCTGACCTATATTCATAAAGATTTTCCAAAAATATGATACCGCAAAATTAAAAAAGTGACGTCTTGAGTGGAGTCAAAGGTCGAAATTGCTAGCTAAATGTTTTTTTTAGCGAAATTGCGTATTGTACGTTTTTTTCGCAAAACGAAACCCTTAATTTTTGATAAACTTCTTTATAGAAATACATTCAATTTTTTTGAATTTAAAAATGATCGAGCGATCAACGGGAATTGCCACTTTTTGATCGACGACGATTTTTGATTTTTCGTGCTAAAATAGCTCAGATAAATACACTGAAAAGTATACATGGCACGGCGGGCGCAAAAAGTGACAAAATAGAATACCTATGGTGGCAAGACAAAGGAAACATTTTTGTAAGGCAAACATTATATCAAATACCTTTACTTTGTAATAAGAAATATAATTATCACGAAATTACAAATAAATATTGTTTAATATAATTAATAGCAAAATTGTTTTTTATTATTTCCCTTAAGACCTTACTTATTAAGTATACGTATAACAAGCTTGTACTGCATGTATTAGTTAATAGAACAAAAGAAAATGAGCTCAAATGAAAAAAATTTTCATGCTATTTTGGAAATATGCATATTCGAAGTATGAGAGTTGTAAACACTGAGAATTTTAAGCTTTGGTTGATGATAGTCTTTAATTTTTCTTGAAGTAGTAAATTATTTGATATGAAAATTTAATGGCCAGCATAATCAATCGTGCGTTTCGTTTCTTGATTGCGAAACGATGATTGTGTGCTAATGAATTATTGCGTCTGACAGGTTATGATTATGGATACCTGAAATTAAGCTTTTATGGGAAACATCACCGAGCGCCATTTGGCGCCCCTAATGCTGTTTCTATCGGTATGATTAAGGAGCTTTCTTATGCACTTTCATCACTTGAACTTGAACGCTACAAGATATATGCCCCCTCCCAATGGGAGGTGGGAGCAAAAATTGAAATGTTTACATTGATTTTTGAATACTTTACAAGCGCCCCTCCCAGTGGGCGCGGGCGCAAGTGATCGGGTCAAAAAAAATCATAAAAATATTCAAAATTGCGATTTTAATAGATGTTTAAGAAGTAAATTTATTAATAACGATATTTCATAGTACAAAATGTGTTCAATCTCTTCGTAAATCATTCAAAAAAATCAAAAGAATTTCCAAAATTCAATTTTTTGAGTAAAATTTATATCTTTTTCTATCGTCTCCTCCCCACCAGTGGGAGCCACCGGAGGCGCGGGCGGCGCCGCTGGCGCCAAAAAAGTAGCGCCCATCGTGCCATGTATACTGAAAAGTAATTTACCAAGTATTTTCCCAAAACTTCATGTAAAAATGTCATGAAATCACAAATCATATTTATACACGTTTTTAGTACTATTTCAAATAATACACCAACAGGATTACGTTTTCTAAGTTTTCATTTTATCGAAAACATAATTTTTATCGGCACAATTTCATTTAGGAAACTGTACTTTTTCTATTGCAAACGAAATGCAGTTGAAAGAAATACATTTAAGAATTAATCCGAAAAATTAAACGAAACAAGAAATGAAATGGGAAATATCATATTTAAAAATTTATAGAATTAACTTCAATTACAAATACAAAAAACAGAATATACATATAAAACTAGCACTTCTATTCGTATGGTTGGAATTTATATCTCTTCACTGTCTGTGTTGATACTGTAGAGAATGATTTACCAGTCTGAGTAATAAACGGACCATCCTTTTGCTCAATGTTATCACCTGTTTCTTTTTGTCTTATCTTGGGGACTGATAATGGCTGTGATTTAAAGTTATCATCCATATCTGACAATTTTCTTTCATTATTCTCTACAGCAAGTCTCAAATTATAAATCAATGCTGTATGAGTAAGAAGGATTTTCTGCCTTTGCCTCTTAGCTTTCTCCTCTAAGCACAACCTTTGCTTTTCATGCTCTTCTGCTAATTTATTGCGTTGCTGCTGATTATAAATATCAAAATTCTGCCTATTGACTTTGCTTTCCTCAATATCCATTTTATCAGCTTGCTCTTTAATTTCAGCTGCTTCTGTATATCTTTTCGAAGATAATAAGCTTTTTTCAATTTGGCGAAGATTTAAGTACTGATTTGAGCGCTTAATGAATCTAGCTGGTAGTTCTTCAGGTATTGATTTATTGAATTCATCAACTTGTTTTTGATAATTTTCTTCAAAAACTTTCAGATCTTCTTGATACTTCTGATTAAATTCTGCCAATTCCTGATCTCTTTTTTCTTCTTCTTTCATTAAGGCGTCAACAGAACGTCGATAAAGATCTCTCTGATGTTCCCACTTATCTACTCGAGTATTATCCTTCTTACATTTAAGATGCATTTCGTACAGATATTGATAAACATCTTCATAATTTTGTGCCTTACGAAAATCTTCGTTTTTTATGCATTCTTGCTTTTTACGAGCGCAAACGGGTATCAAGTATGGTACAAGCTTTGTTTCGCTAGGTTTGAGTTTCTTACCACCGATAAGCTGATCCAAAGTCGAATCTAGTAATTCGGGTTCTGGCCTATTTGTATCTCCGCCTTTTCCTGTTAAGAATTCTTTTTCCTTTTCAGCTTTTATGCAATCCATGACTTCAGTCATTTTATTTTGAATTTGTTTCACAACTGTCACATTACCTGCTGCAATTTCTTTATCTTTTTGCTTGATAAGACCTTCATAAACGCCGAATAACTCATCAGAAGGTACTTCTTCAGCTGGTGTTCCGTTTAAAACTTCCTGAACCCAGTCTTTTTCAACTTCTTCTCCTCCAGACATTCAAAATAACGTGCAATTTATATCAAAGAGTTTTTTTACATGATTCAAAATATTCTCATTTGCTAGGCCTTAAATAAAGTTATATTAAATTACATTCTATTTTTATAAAATCAAACAGATAATAGTTTATTATGTAACAGCTATATAAAATATTGAACGGATGGTAATGGATCGATGAGAGTCGTAAGAATTAGTATTCATTACTCCTATAAATCAAAGGTGAAAAAAATTATTTCCTAAAAAGTAACTTGAATATACCTTTTCCACCAAAGTATAAAACACATAAGGAAACAAATGTAACTAATGCAATTTTCATAATGCCTATACCTGTCGGATCATCTGAAATTGCTTTGATAAAGTTTCTTCCTTGCCCCATAACGTCATTTGCCCTAAATCCGGATTCTAGTGCAATATCTAGTCTTTCTTTATCACTTCTAATATGTGAATGTAAATTTTTTGTATGGTCAAGTAATCTTGTAGTAGAATCAACTAATTGATCCATAGCCATCATGTTTGCGTTATCTAGTGTATTTGCAGCAAGATCATCTTCATTGTCTGGCCGAGGTTTTCGATTCCACATAAATTTTATTGCAAAATAATCGTTCTGTAAAAATCCGATCATCAAATTTTTTTTCTCAAAAATTCTTGAATACAAGCCATATTTGATTATTGAGCGGAACCTTTGAAATTTGATAATACTCTGGATTGATGTTAGTCTGTGGTTCTTAAAAAAAATTTACCTCGAAATTCATCATATTTACCAAATGTGTACAGATCAACCATAACAGCATTGTTCAATGAGAGAAAGAATATCATAACAATGAGTGCAGATATAAACTCATAATATATATTATTTGTAGTTAGAATATTTTTATGAGTGCATTAAGTGGTATTTTGTGCACGGTAACTAAAATATATAATAAACTCTGATATTCATTTTTGGTATTTTCTTTTGGTATATTTTAACGATAAAATTTTATTTTTCATTTTCTTGAAGGATTACTCATGTCCTGTGAGTCTCTAACAAAGTTTGAAGATTTCATAGGATTGTATGATAGGCTCTTTCACTTCAAATCAAACGAATCTGTTGAAGAAATTATTAATTCAATCTCTTCAACTTTAATTTCGAAGTCCAAAATGCCTTTTGATATGCTATTCAAGAGTATATTCCAAGCAATGGAATTCAACAATCGATCTATCTATAAATATGTTGAAATTCTAAACCAAGTTTCAACAAAATATTCATTAAAAAAGTGCGATTTTGTTAATAGCTATAGTTCTTCATATTTTGATACAGAAGAATCTAATAAGTTTAAGTTAGATCAAGAACTTGTTTCCTCGTTCCCAAAGGAAGGTGAGATCAGCTACATGATTATGCATGATCAAATTGATGGCATCAAAGAATATCTTTCCAATAATTCATTAAAAGGTTCATATATTGAGATTCCATTTGGAAATTTATCACCTCTTGAAGCTTGCTGCTATTTTGGATCTGTTAACATTTTCTTCTTCCTCATTTCAACCTCCAAATATAAAATCGATCGAAGGTGTCTTCGGTATTCTGTTATTGGAGGAAACACGGACATTATTAATGAATGCATGAAAAACAATCAAATTGATGAAGATTGCTTCAATGATATTCTTTCGTCACACAACAATAAACTCCTTGAATACATTCTAGAAAATGGTTTGTTTAATCTTGATATTGAACCTGATTCAAATTACAATGAATGTTCCGTAACTGGTCATAGTGATGATGAAGTTAAACGTAATTTTGATTTTTACAAAATCATCGAATCACAAAATTTAAAGGCAGCATTTCTTCTGTACAAGAAAGACGACATATCAATTTTTCCATGGTGTGCTGCATTTCCTCAGTTATTAGACATCATTAAGAATGAATATATGAATCATCCTTCAATAGTTTTAAACGCAAGCGATGGCTATCGAAGGAGAATTCTTCATTATGCAGCAGATTATGCATGTTTAGAAACATTAAAGTTTCTTATTTCACAATGTGTATATATCGATATTGCGGATGCAGGAAATACGACAGCTCTTCATTACGCACTAAAAAAAGATCGCAAAGAAATAGTTGAATATCTTATATCTCAATATGCAGATACAAGTGCAAAAGATGAATATGGAAGGACAGCTTTACATATAGCGGCCGAAAAAAAACAGAAAAGAAATAGCAGAACTTCTTATTTCACACCGAGTAGATATAAATGCTAAAGATAAACGCGGAAGAACTCCACTACATTCAGCAATAAATTATTGCAGTTTTAAAATGGCAGAATTTCTTATCATAAACGGTGCATATATCAATGCAAAAGATAAAGACGGTAAAACGGCTCTTCATTATGCGTTAGGCAAAGATAATTGCAAAGAAATCACCGAGTTTTTGGTTTTACATGGCGCTGATATCAACATTAGAGATAAAGATGGACAAACCGCTCTTTATCATGCAGCAAAAAATAAGAATGCCATAGAAATGTTGGAATTTCTTATTTCACATGGTGCTGATATCAACATTAAAGATTACTGCGAAAGAACAATTTTAAATCATGCAACAGACAATAAAGAAGTAATGGAATTACTCATTTTACATGGTCTTGATATCAATGCAAGAGATAAATTTGGAAAAACTGAACTTCATTACGCAGTATACTATAATGACAAAGAATTAATAGAATTTCTAATTTCGTATAATGCAGATGTCAACATTAAAGATAACGATGGAATGGCAGTTATTCATTATGCAAAAACGAAAGAATTAATAGAATATCTTTATTTTACATGGTGCGAATATCGAGGCTGTTGAGAATAATGGGAAGACTGCTCTTCACTATGCTGCAGAAAATGGGTTAATTGAATTATTAGAATATCTTCTTTCACATGAAGCGGATATAAATGGTAAAGATAAATCAGGAAGAACAGCTCTTCATTATGCAGCAACTAATTATAATTGTGAAGCAGCAAAATATCTTATCTTACATGGTGCAGCTATCAATGTAAAGGACGTTAATGGGAAAACCCCACTTCATTTTGCAGCAGAGAAATATACAAGTGGTATAGTAGAACTCCTGATTTCACATGGTGCAGAAATAAATGCAAAGGACAAAGATGGAGAAACTACTCTTCATTTAGCAGCAATACATATGAATACTGCAACAGTAGAATTTCTTCTTACACATGGAGGTGATATTAACGGAAAAGACAAAAGTAAAAAAACAGCTCTTCATTTGGCGGCAGAGAAAGATTGTTCAGAAACTGTAAAGCTTCTTATTTCATTCCATGCAGTTATCAATGCAAAAGATGAATCCGGAAAAACTGCTATTCACTTAGCAGCAGAAAATAATTGTAAAGAAACAGCAAACCTTCTTATTTTGCACCATGTAGATATCAATGCAAAAGATAAATTCGGAAAAACTGCTCTTCATTATGCAGTCCAAAACAATAGAAAAAAGATGATAAAATTCCTTATTTCTAATGGTGCAGATACTAATGCTAAAGATAATAATGGAAAAATCGCATACCATGATTATGAAAGTTCATAAAGTGATAAACTCAGATATTCATGGCCATTTTAAGGATGCAATCTATGTCTTTGTGCATCAAAAAATGATTATTTTTCCTTATATATGTTCTTTTCAGCACATTTATTCATCTCTTCCTTTCATAATTATAAGCAAATGCGTCTTTTGCATATCTATTTGCAGTATATAGCCATTCAATTTATGAAATTCTGTTGAATTCTAGTGTTAACAATTTGACACCGACGCGAATCATGAACAAAAACAAATCTTGCTGTGATTTTGAGCCAAATAAAAATTTAGGTGTGTACAGAAGCATATGTATTTTCGTCAGTCATGCAACACTATAAATCCAAGTTTATCCTATTAAAAATTATTAACATGATAATAGCTAAGTCCTTCTATATTACTTTTTCCTTATATAAAATAAAGGTTTCCAGCGAAAGTAAAATTAAATATTCAAAATATGTTTCACACTTTTTCTGAGAAGCTGCAAGCTGATAAAAAGTGTGAATATATATTTTAATAGGTTCTGATACTTTTTTGGGCTTATTTTATAAGCCCGTAAAAAGTTTCAAACCTATTTTGATATTTTTTCCCCTGCAATCAATTATTTATGGCTTCAAACATCTTATGTCAACCAAAGAACATACGGAAATGTACATTATTATGCCTTTTAATAAGTAAAAGGAACAAGCGATTGAGCTAAATTTGGTATACTCCCAGAATATTCAGGTAAGACCCTATTTTACAATGAACGTTGCTACAGAAGAACTCGCTTTTGATAGCGAATATGTAAAATCAGTTGCTAAGGATGTATATTTTTATTTCTAACATCAGAGTATAGAAACAATGCTGAGAAATCAGGAATTTAAACCACAGATGATTAATCAATGGTGCTCTTCTATCGTTGAAGACTGCACAAAAAGACTTTGCGCACAAAACAAACCATTTAAATACGTATCTACATGCGTCATCATGCAAAAAACAGGTGCTGGATTACACTTAGCTGCATCAACATTTTGGGATCAAACTACAGATTCATCTGTTACGGTTCGTTGGGAAAACACAACAATGTATGCGATTATATGCGTATATGGCGTTATGATTTAAGTTATTTATTTTTTTATAAATATTAAATGTACATTTATGATAAATCATCCAAGTTTTCAGATATTATATATATCAATTACTAGGTGAAAATGTTACTTGATATATAATAATCTTTATATATTTTTTATATTATTTTAATACTTTTTCATATCAGCATATTTTTTATCACACATAATTTCTCTTTGCAGATCATGTTAGTTAAATGTATAATTTTAATAAAATTGAATTCTATTGAATTAAATTTCTATATAAGACTGTTGTATTTGATTGGTGATGATATATACAAGTAATACTTTCTAATCTCAATGTTTAGGATTTCAATATCTATCGATAAGATTTCATTCTCAACATCAAATTCAAAGATTTATGATTATTTCTCAATTATCCATGACTTCTAACAGGAGTTATCTCAAGATTTAGATAAAACTTTCCACAAATAATGGATGTAAAATAAAAAATCAAGGATGAAGTTTTTGTATGTATTCCAAAAAGTGACAAATTCATAATGATTTCATTTCTTCTTCATTTTACCGAATCTACATTACAAAACTTCTCAAATGATGCATTTCAACACATGAAAACAGGAAAGAAAAGCATTGTCTATGCTTATTCATTCAATCCTGATCCTTTTCACGTTCAAGTTTTATCAAAAAGCGCAGAAATGTTTCCAGAGGTCAATTTCATATTAATTGATTGCTATAAGAATTCGACAGTATGCGAAAAGTATTATCTTGAAGCAATTCCAACAGTTAACGCTTTTGGATCAATAAGAGCTCCAAAAATACCTCTTTTATATGATGAAATTAGCGTATATAACATAGCTGCGTTTATTGCACGCCAATACCACATAAAAATACCATTTGAAATTAAAACAACTCCAATTCTTGAAAAACAAAATTATTCATCATTTGTTTCTCAATATCCATGCAGTGCCGTTTTCTATACAAACAGAAATAGCGAAATGTCAAGGATTCTTGTGCCTTCAATGAATGAAATTTACGATATTTTCTATCATGATGCAAAAGTAGGCGTTGCTGAAGTCCAATGCCAAAGCGATGTTGATTTCTGCGAAGCAGTAGACATTTCTGCTGCTCCAATTCTTCGATTATCTACAAATGGCCAATATTTCGAATATAAAGGAACTCGTGAAGTCAAACCAATGCTAGACTTCATTAATTCGAAATGCGGCACATATAGATGCATCCTTGGTGATGTTAATACGAGTTTATACTTCAATTCTTGTGAATTATCTTTAATAGATAATTTCAAGGACGTAAAAACAGCTCTTTCGAAAGTAGAACAATGCAGAAAGGATAGTCCATTGAAGCCAATCCTTGAAACTGCTGCAAAAGGCTCCACAAGCATTAAATCAAATATTAATAAATGCAACACATTATTACAGAACAAATCAGTCCAAGGTCAGTCAAGAGATAAAGTGTTCACTACGAAATGGGTGTTGGAAAAGATTTTGCCAAAAATTAATTTCGATACACCGATTTCAAATGAATTATAATATAAATATTATGTTTTACATTATTCTGTTAAAAATTATCTATAAAATTTTGCAATTTTTTAAAAAATATTTTCCGAATCTCAAATGATCTTTAAATACCAAAGTTATTGTTTTGATTTCATTTAATGTGAATAGATTCCCAATAACATTAGTCAAAATATAAGTATTTTCATATTAATCATTTGGATTAGAACTGAAGACTCATTCTTTTCATTCCTTAAAAGTACAATCTCAAAGTACAAGGAAACAGAGGATATCAACGAACTCTCTTGAATGAATAACATGCTCATTAATCATTTTCAATATTTTCAAGTTCCTCAATAAGTATATAAACATTCTACAATAAGTAAAAATTGTTAAGCTATCTTCATGTTTCTAGGCTAGTCTTATCAATTCTGGTCACTCCTCCAGATGAAAAAATCTTCGAAGTTTCGCCAATTACTGAGATACCAACAACAATAACTGATGCAAATAAAGCAGCATTTGGTGAAATTAGTGCTCGCTTTTCTGATTGATGAAAAAATCGGAGATGTTTTCCAGCACCTTTTCCACCAGAAATCGACTACCTTATGCATATACTCAACCTTCCAAAGTTATATTTATTGAAACTGTAGGAGAGAAATAAAATGTGAAAATAAAAAAAAATCCGAAGGAAATTTTTGAATGAGTGACGAGAAAAGAATAGTGAAAGCCCTTAAGGATCATTTGAATGCCAAAGGGAAGCCACTATTCGTATCAAATTCTATCCGAACTCACAAATATACTGTTTTAACATTCTTACCTTTAAACTTATATCATCAATTCTCAAGACTTGCTAACTTTTACTTTTTAATCATCGTTTTACTTTTACAATTCAAGTGGGCTCCAATTTCAGCTAATGCCGCTCTATTTCCATTAGTTATTGTTATCGGTATCTCTGCAATTCGCGAAGCTATCGAAGATTTTCTCAGGTGGAGGAGTGACCAACGCGTCAATGCTACTCCAGCAACCAAATTGGTTAACGGAGCATTTACAGAATGTCGTTGGGATGAAATTAAAGTCGGAGATATCATTTATCTCAAGAAAAATGAGCAGATTCCAGCAGATGCTGTTTTCTTATCTTCTAATGAATCATCCGGTACTGCTTACGTTGATACATGTAACTTAGATGGAGAGACCAATCTTAAAATCAAACAAGCGATCAAAGAAACTCTCCAATTGACTGAACCGCAAGCATTAATCAACGCAGATATGCAAGTAGAATGTGACTTACCAAATAACAATCTTTACGTATTCAACGGAAATATCCGTGTCAATGGTTCACAGCATCCATTAGACGATGCTGCCCTTTTCCTTCGTGGCAGTATCCTCAGAAATACAAACTTCGCTATCGGATTAGTCGTTTATACCGGTCATGATTCCAAGATCATGAAAAATTCATGCGATGCACGTACGAAACGATCATTACTTGAACGTGGCCTCAACTGGAAACTTATCTCCATATTCATTACCATCCTCTGCCTGTCATTAGCCGCAAGTATCTCTGGTTTTATTTATGAACAGAAAACAATTAACGAAAGCATGGTCTGGTATTTCTACAGGAACAAGGAAAACAGACGTAACCCACCATATGCGTTCTTTATCCTCTTCGTTTCCCACATTATTGTCATAAACGCCATGATTCCAATTTCATTGTATGTTACATTAGAAGTTGTCAGAGTTTTCCAAGCGATGTTTGTTACAATGGACAGCGAGATGTACGATGAAGAGATTGGCGTTGGCTGTTCCAGTAGAACAACAAACATTTCCGATGATTTAGGTCAAATCGAATACATTTTTTCAGACAAAACAGGAACATTGACAAGGAACGTCATGGATTTCATGAAATGCTCAATAAATGGAAAGATCTATGGCTCAGGAATCACAGAAGTTGGTTACGCAGCTGCTAAAAGACAAGGTTTGGATGTAGAACCTCCAAAGAAAAATCAAAAATTTTATGATGAAAAATTCTCTCAATTATTAAAAAGTGACACTCCTGAAATGGTCAAACACTTTTTATTACTTTTGAGTACATGTCATTCTGTTATTCCCGAGAAGGATGATACACAACCATACGGAATCATCTTCCAAGCACCTTCTCCAGATGAAGCAGCATTAGTTCAAGCAGTTGCTGACATGGGATATGTTTTTAAGGAAAGAGGTGTTGATTACATCAAAGTAGAGATCAACGGCGAAGAGAAGAAGATAGAATTACTCGCAAACCTCGAATTCACATCAGCAAGAAAGAGATCTTCCGTTTTAATTCGTCATCCAGACACTAAAAAATGTATAATTTACATGAAAGGAGCTGATGACACGATATTAAAGCGATTGAAAGAAGAAACAGACTTGGAAATACAGACAAGACAACATTTGGTTGAATTCAGTAATTCCGGCCTCAGAACATTATGTTTAGCATACAAAGAACTCGATGAAAAATTCGTACAAGATTGGTTGGCCAGATACAAAGAAGCGAATTGTTTAGTCGTAGGAAGAGACGAAGCTGTTTCCAAAGTCAGCGAAGAGATAGAGAAGGACATGAACCTTATAGGAGCAACAGCAATAGAAGACAAACTCCAAGAAGGTGTACCAGATGCAATTGATTCTTGTTTAAAGGCAGGAATTCACTGTTGGATGATCACGGGTGATAAAATGGAAACTGCTATTAATATCGGTTTCGCTTGTTCTTTATTGAGTTCTGACATGGTTATTGTCAAAATCAATGAAGAAACAATTGGCGCGGATATTGATAAGGCAGAAGCAGCTGTTGGTGATCTCGCTTTGGTTATACATGGAGCTGCAATTCCGGATTTACTTGACAAATTTGTTGACAGATTTATTGAATTGACAAAAAGGTGTCATTCTGTAATTTGTTGCAGAGTTTCTCCACTTCAAAAAGCGCAAATCGTTTCAGTGATGCGCCAAAAGACTAAAGCGATGGCTCTCGCAATCGGTGACGGTGCAAATGACGTAGGAATGATATTAGAAGCTGATGTTGGTGTCGGAATTTCTGGAAAAGAAGGAAGACAAGCGGTTTTGGCGTCAGATTATGCCATTGGAAAATTCCGTTATCTCAAGAGATTACTTTTAGTCCATGGACGTATGAATCTCTATAGAAACATAGAGTGCATATTCTACTCTTTCTATAAGAACATGGCTTTCACTTTCAACCAAATGATTTTCGCTTGTTATTCTCATTTCTCCGGCCAAACAATGTACGATGGCGTTCTTTACACAATTTTCAATGTTTTCTTCACATCAGTTCCCATCGTTGTTTATTCGGCCTACGACAGAGATATTTCACTCGAAGCGATGATGGAATATCCAGAACTCTATAAGCTAGATGGAAAGAAGAAATGGTTGCAATCATATCCTCTTTTCCTCCTCAATCTTTTGTACGGAGTTGTTCACGCGTTTTGTGCTTTTTATGTCACGTTTTTGTTTTGTGGCAATTTTGTCAGCCACGACGGTTATCAGATTACTCTTGCTGAATATGCTGTTACTGTTTATCAATGTGTTGTTGCAATTGTTAATATCAAGATAGCGTCATTGTTTAAGTACTGGAATTGGATGGTTTGGTTGTTTGTTTGGGGATCAATTTTGATTTATCCATTGTTAGTTTTGTTGCTCGACAAAATGAAGATTTCAAGGAATTTGGCTGGTTTGTCTATCAGATGGCTTAGAGAACCTGTTTATTGGTTCAGTACTATTGGTGCAATGATTCTTGTTTCTATTCCAATTGTTTTGCAAATTTTGATTATGGATGGAAGAAATTCTTTGAGGAATAGAATTATTTTCGCTTCTCGTGCCAAAGATCAGTCAAAGAAGGTCATGTCACAAGAATTATCTGATGTCTCTAAAATAAATGATCATATCTTATGACGGTCTCTGATTTAAGTGACAAAAAAAATCAGATATTTAAAAAAGTGTCACTTAAATCATACTTCTTTTATATCTATCATATTAAATGATAGAACTATTTTGAATTGATTTATATTATATATCTTTTTCTTGTTTTGGGATACTTTTATATATTTGATTTTTATGATTTTTTTTTATTTGACTATCATAAACTTTTATTCTTAAAAAAACATAATCAATGTAATGCAACTTTTTCCCAAATAATTGAATTTATTACTAACAAAGCACCAACTGCATGGCATCTTGCAGTTTCATGTGATAGATATCTCTTTGTGCACAATATGATAGTATTACTTCATATATGATAGTTGAATCCAAAGCTCACCACATTACCTTGAAATGAGAGCTTTTTTGCATCATTATAAAAAATATAGTTATTATACATTTTTGTTATTTGTATAGTTTAGTTACTTTTTTAATGATTTCAAAAAAAAGATCAATAACCTGACCAAATATTACAAAAGCAAAGAGTATCACAACATCCTTAAATGCAAGCGAGCCATCATCTACAGTTCTAGGTTTTGGATCAAATTCTCCAGAATCATTTTCATTGAATTTATATTGAAACTCTGCTTCATTTATTGAGATATTTTTTCAACTATAACTCCGATGAATTTGTCAGCTTGTTTAACAAACATATTTTCGTAGAATTTACTGCATCTCAATGCTCTTAAAATTATGTATAAATATTGACTAAATTTGCTTGAATAAAACTTAATTATTGGTGAATTCTTCCCATTAAAACAAACTAAGCGTTCGTCAGTTTGATTGTAATCAAGTCTATCAATATTATCTACATTACTAACATTATTTTGAATTTCTTGAATAAAGTTGTTGAAACTTTTATTTGCCTCATTATTTAAGACATATTTTTCTTTCAATAGGAAAATAACTGTTTCATTCATAAATTGTGAAATGTTCAATGGTTGAAACTCCCATGATCCATAAGGAAAAATGTATCTGTCATAAACATCATAACTCTGCCTATTCTCTCCATCAGCCGCTTTCTGAAGTGCATAAAGTGTAATCCTTGGTTGCTGTGAAAGGAATGAGTTAACATACTCGTGATTATCTATATTGCGAAACATTCCTAAGTATGACCTTTTTTCGTTTTTTGAAGTAATAAATCCATATGCAAATATCAGTACAAGTATGCTGAACATCATTTGGAATTATGGAAATTTTAATCATAAAAATAGAATTCATTGAATTTTGGAAATTTAAAAATTAAAAATGTCAAAATTTTCTCTCAATTTTATATTTCAGAATTTCTAACTCATAAATAAAATTCTCATGCAAATTTGACATTGATTTAAATTCTTGATAACTCTCTTGAAATATTAACCTTAAACAATTGAATGTCATATCATAGATGTGAGCAGGAAAAAATCATAATGAGGAAACTGCTCTTCGTAATGCATTAAAAAAATAATAGTAAAGAAATAGTTAGGGCTGTACAAAATCGAGAAAAACATTGCCGTGCTGTAATATAGGGTCAAAAAAATCGCGCCTCGGCGGCTCCGCCGCCTCGGCACTATTAAGTGCGCATTATATTTAATATGTCCTTCTTTTTTTTCTTTTTTCTTCTTCTTCTTTTCCTTTCCTTCTTCCTCTCCTTCCTCTTCTTTCCTTCTCCTTCTCTTTTTACAACAACGTCGAAGATCTTCGAATTTGATTGTTGGAAAAGCATCTATTTCAGATAAAGGATGCCTTTCTCACAGTCAACATACGAGGGTCCTGGCTGAAACGTTCTCAAAAAGCCTGAGATGGTAATTCTCTGATCACTCATAGCTGGGCAGGTAGTCATTGCTGACAATACCTGTCTTTATGCATGCACGCTTTCATGTATATGGGTTTACACTATCAATTCGCAAAGTTGTTCCGAATTCTTCCAAAATGGAAGGACCCGAAACAACTTTGCTTGTTAACGATACAGACGCATTACTTTGCATTGATACTGTGCTGAGTTGTGTAGAAAGTTTGATTAGAGTTGTTTTGTTCTGGTATCTCTCATCTTCTGATGAGAGAAATCAAAGCAACACAACTCTAATGAGTTTGTTTTCACTCATTTGTATGTAGGTTTTTAGTTCGATTGGAGCTGCTTCATAATGAGATCTCTCATCAATTGATGAGGAGATCATAACAAAGCAGCTCTAATGTATATGCTCGTATTAACCGGGTTGTAATGCGTTGTAACGTCAGCTTGTAGTTCGTTTGGGGCCACTTCACATTGAGATGAGAAGAAATGATTAAAGGACTCTGAAAGGCTTTGGCCGTTGATGTTGTAATCGCATTACTTGGAACTAGCTGGATGCTAAGCTGTGTAGAATGTTCGATTAGAGCTGTTTTGATATGATTTTTCTCATCATAAGATTGGAGGAATCATAGCAAAACAACTCTAATTGGTTTACCATCATCTACTTGATGTAGATGTTTGGGAAATTGTCTTGTTAATCGATTTTCGAGATGACTTTCAAATGCGATAATCAAATGACAAACAAGTCTAAGATTTCTCGACAATACATCAAATCATGATGTTTGTAAGTGCATGAGATTAGAGTTTTTGAAGGAATGACAAGAGAAGTAGGGAAGCTCGGCATTCGCCGAGCAAATTAAAAATCAACGTATGGATTAAATTTTAAGAGGAATTCAATTTTAATTACGGGTTGTTCAAATATTGATTAATATAAATTTATTAATAAGAATAAACAATTTTTGTTTTTGAATTTATTCAATTTATAGCTTTACATATAGTTTCAAAATTGTACAACTATGATTATTTCAACAAAAATATCTTACTTTTTCACTTCACTTTCACTCTCACTTTTTCCGTAATTCAAATTTCAACATTATGTATTTTAATTCCTTATAGTATTTTTAACATAATTAATCAAATAATAATTGGAAGTTCTGAACTCACTTTTTCCGTAATTCAAAATCAAAAATATGAATAATATATCTATTTATTATATACTAATGCTATTTTCAACTAGAAGTGAGGTACGGTAATCTTACGGATTCCCGTAACTCAATTTTACGGAAAAAGTGCAGTAAACTACTCAATTTACGGAAAAAGTGTCGTAAACTATTGATGTGGCGGTAAAATCACGGTAATTCACGGAAAGCTATATGCGAAAATTTGAAATTATACAAAATCGAGCGAAACACTTTTAAATAGGTTGTTCTCGTATTTAAAATACTATTCCCAGATTTATTGTCGTCAGAATATTTCCAAATTTTTGCCGATTTACAAAAAATGATTTACAAAGCATATTTTTTAATCTAAAAAATTCCTAAAAAAAGGAACCGGTGTGCGGAAAACTCGGTAAATTACCGCGGTTCCCGTTGGGACTGCCATAGAAATAGTTTAGCTTCTTATTATGCTGTATATTATAAAAGAAAAAAAAGGACTAAGTTTCTTCTTTCAAATGACTCAAATATCAACGAAAAAGATAATAATGGAAGAACTGCTCTTTACTATGTATTAGGAAAAACGGCTTTTCATCTTGCAACGGATAATAATTATAAAGAAATAATTGAATTCTTCTTTCGTATGGTGCAAACTTGTGATTTGAATCTATACTAAGTCATTTCACTTCTTCTCCAAAGCAATTATGACTCTGATTCATAATAGCGTATAAAATCACTTTCCTTTATAATCTCTAAAATCAAATACAAAGTGGAGAATAGGCATACAAAAATAGTGCTAATATTAGCAATACGCACATGTAAAAACAGAGAGTAGATGTGACTCTTAAATTAAAAACACCGTATTTCAGATTAATTAAAAAATTTAAGTAAAAATCAAATTAAATAAAAAAAATTAAAAAATAAATAGCAAATCCGAAAAGTCCAAGTTATGGATCTTTCTTAAAGTGTCACGAATATGACTTGCGAAGAAGAATTCATATTAAACTTCTGAATCTTCTATCCCAAGTTGCATAGTGACAATTAATTAAAAAATAAAGTTCTCTTCAAAGGAAAATTGGAAATCTGTAAGTGATCAAAGCGGTGATCCTGCGAATCTTTGGCAAACCCAAATTTTAGCTAAAAGTGACAGGGAAAAAACGTTTAGTATTAAAAAAAAGACCGATGAGAGCTTCGTTCGAAATATAGAGGGAACTGAGAATGCGCAACCATTCTCAGGGAATATTGGATGTTATTCCCGTTCCCTCTGTATGGAAAATTGAGGTTTTCAAAGGGAGTTAAAATAATATCAAATTTATACTAATTTACTTCAAAATACAAAAGTATTTGACAGCTAAAATTAGTTACTTTAGCAAGCCTATCAATACCCTTTTACGATTATTGTTACTTTTTCGAAATAAAATAAATTTATTATCAAAAACCTTTTTTTCTTAGTAAAAATAAACGAAATTTTTTACCTTATGAACTTTTGATGGAAATATGCAAATTTAAAATAATAAAGAAAGCCGCGAGCGAAGCGATCGGCTTAGTTCGAAGATTTTGATTCAAATCTTTGCTGATCTGTAATTCGCGGAAGCCGCGAGCGAATCGAGCGGCTTAGGTCTAAGATTTTGATTCAAATCTTTGCTTATATTCCTTAAATTCTTTATGAAACTCGCAACAGTTCCATAAAAAATTTTAAATTCGAAACTGTCGAAATTACCGATCGGTAATCACACCCTTCATGGGTGTGTCACTTTTTACAGGTGTGTCACTTTTAGCTAAAATTACCCCTACTCCGAATCTTTGGACACATGAAAAAATATGAAAAAGCGGTTTCTGGCAAACTGTTGTTTTCCCTGAAATCTAAAATTTAGTTGTTTAAAAAAATTAATTGAAAAATCGTGCATATTATACATTTTTAAGAATATAATTCATTTCGTTGGAATTTTAAAATTTTCCATCAAATTTTTAGAAAATGAAGGAAAGGGTTCATATTTTATGAATATTTAAAATATTTCTTAAAAATTTTTATTTGTAAACTATTCAAAAAATATGAAATCCAGTTTTGAGCAAATTTATAGCTTACTTTTTCAGAGAAACTTCTTTTAAAATTTATAATACTATCATCAACCACTTGGGCTGATCAACAATTACGTTCCATCAAGATTTTGAAAGAATTAGATAACATAGAAAAATAGGTTTCAACACGATCAAATAGCATCCTAAAATAAAAATATATTAATAACAACAATTCATACAATAGTTTACTATACATTCAATAATAATTAGAAATAATTTATGCATGTTCTTTATTTGACATTTTCTTTTTAAGAGCTTTCATGTATTCGATCTTCCATCTCAACTTTCCGAGTTCTTCGCATTTCTTAGTAAGTTCGGCATGTAATTCCTCCTTTTTGTCTACAATTCCCATTTGAATGTCTGCTTTATCGAATTGAAGTGCTTCAAGGCGTGAATTCATATCAACGAGCTTTTTTTCGAGATTCGCACTAAAAATTTTAATACTTCTTAATTGTGTTTGAATTTCTGCAATTTTGTAAACGTCATTTTCTAATCTATCAAATGCTTTCTTAAGCTTGGGGTTGTCTGACATGATTGCATCAGTTACCTTTGGAATTAACACGTCGTGAAATCGTTTTAATCTTTCACCTGATAAAACTATATTAATTTCCTGATCATGAAGACAATCTTCGGCTCTTCTTTTGGCTGTCATGCCAGCAACTTGGATTTGGCGCACCAAAGTAGCAATTTGATTCGAAGTTGGAGGTTCTTGAGAGGTATCTATCTTTGATATCTGTATTTTACGATTTTCAATCTGTTGTTGGAATAAATTTACTTGTACTTGATGATCCTTCTTTGTTTGTTCTATGTATTTTTTATGTCTGTCGATCATTGATTGCAAAAATAGGATATCTTGTTCTAAATTTCCAACTGATTTCTGTAGTTTAGCTGATTTTTGCTGAAGAGTTCTCATTCCTTCGACATTTGAAACAAATTCGTTTTCTTGTGTTTTCTGCATGACTTTCTTTTCAGGACGAGGCACAAAAGGCTGAGGAGTAAATCGTCCTATGGAAGAAATTGTATTTAAAGAAATCTGATCAGGAGTTCTTGAAGGAGAAACAGACATTTTATATAACGAACTTTCTCCTAAAAATAAAACTTAATAAAATGATTATAAATACATTTGACTCACCAAAACATTTATCTTTTATTCATTAACTTCATCAAAATTTTTGAATTTTAAAAATCATATTTGCTAATTACAGGCATTGAGGTTTCTAAATAGCATTGTATGAGAGAGCATAAATTTCTTTATTTATGATACAAATAAATATAAATATAAAAAAATATAACAACATTGGATTAAATATCTAATGTATCCAGCCATTTTCCAACATCTGCGCTGTAATTTGCCTTAGCATACTCTTTCACGCTGAATCCGTCTATCGTAGAAACATGAATATCTGCACCTTTTTCGTACAAATACTTTGCAATTTCGACAGAATTTATTTTAACAGCTGTCAAAAATGGGGTCATACCTTCAATGTTCTTGAAATTTACGTTGAATCCTCTTGAAACAAGAAGTTTCACCATTTCCAAAGAGTTGTTTCTGCAAGCAGTTATCAAAGCATCGTCATTCTCATTGATTTCGATTTTGTCCAGAATTTTTTCAGCAACTTTTGTGTTTCCGCTTGATGCACACCAAAAAAAAGGATCGAATTTTGCTACATCAGCTCCTTTTTCTATCAAGTACAAAGCTATATCTGTATTATGGTGAATGCATGCTGTTACTAAAGCCGTCGAATTATCTTTAATTTGATTGACCTCAGCTCCATTTTCGACCAAAAACTTGACAATTTCTAAATGTCCTCCGAAACAAGCTCTTGAAAGTGGAGTAAGTGTAAATTTGTTATGGTATTCATTAATAATTGCTCCTCTTTGCACAAGTATCTTAACTACATCTAAGTTTCCTACAAACGAAGCACTCTGGAGAGGAGTCATATAATCAGAGTTTATATAATTTATGTCAACATCCTTTTCAAGTAAGAAATAAACTGTTTTAATGTTATTTTTCTCAATTGCGCAAATCAATGAACTGGAAATCTTGGAAATTATATTCTTCTTGTCAGTTACAACGTTGTACATCTTATCAACAATGATCTTAACAACAGGGAATATACCTAATGATGCACATTTCTGAAGCAATCCGTTCTTCAAACTTTCTAAAAATGTTTGTTCATTATTCAAAACATCAAATAAATATTCGAAACAATATTTGGTTGCAAAGTCATTATAACTTAAAACAAAGTTGTATTTGCTGATCAAATAGTCAATGAGATCTAAGTTATGCGCAATAAGAGCGTTCTGGAAGCACTTATAATTTGGTAAAAGCTTTTCTTCCAACAAATGAATGATTTCGATTTCTCCTGACAAAAATGAACCTTCTAAAATTGTTTGATCAACAGTTGCTCCATTTGCTAATAAATACTTAAAACATTTTGTTGAACCAAAGTTAGCACAATAATATATGAGGGACTTCCGCTGATAGGTCGCGATGAAATCAAATTCTTCGTCTTGAATTTCTTTGATTAAAGAATCAACATCATCAAAATATATATATTTCACTTTGTTATCGTCATTGAAAAGGTCAAAATCAACGGAAACATTAGTCTCTGAGACATCTTCATAGTTTGGTAGTGTTTTCTTAATGAAATTTGCTTCAAATGGATTTGAATCTTTTTGGCATAGAAGAAGGAGCTTTTTAATGCAATATCCAATGAGATTGATTTTCTTTGTTTGCGATAACATGATGTTTTTAAAGATCTGATGAGCATTTCTTAAATTCAAAATATCATCCCGAATTAATTTGTGAAGATACGTTATGATATCTTCATAATTGCTCGTGTTGATATCATACATCCTCTGAATAGCTTCGATTAAAACGTTTAAATTAGAAATGTCATTCTCCATTAAATTTATGTCACTTTTGTACATCATTTATACGATGAATCGCATCTTTGGATTGTATTATTTAATATAAAAATATTTTAAAAGGCATATTAAAAAAAAAAAAAAAAAAAAAAAAAAAGGTAGTGGGGCTTCCAGGCACTTCGTGCCTTCTAGCCCTGAAGATGTTTAGTATAAATGAAGTTTTTATTCGGAGGGCTTCCAGGAGCTTTTCACAAATTATATATGTTTTCATGTTTTGTCAAGACTTCTTCGTAAATGTTTTGTCAAGATTTCTTCGTAAATGTTTTGTCAAGATTTCTTCGTAAATGTTTTGTCATGATTTCATCGTAAATGTTTTTGTCAAGACTTCTTCGTAAATGTTTTGTCAAAACTTCTTCGTAAATGTTTTGTCAAGACTTCTTCGTAAATGTTTTGTCAAGACTTCTTCGTAAATGTTTTGTCAAGACTTCTTCGTAAATGTTTTGTCAAGACTTCTTCGTAAATGTTTTGTCAAGACTTCTTCGTAAATGTTTTGTCAAGACTTCTTCGTAAATGTTTTGTCAAGACTTCTTCGTAAATGTTTTGTCAAAACTTCTTCGTAAATGTTTTGTCAAGACTTCTTCGTAAATGTTTTGTCAAACATGAACGTAAATGTTTTGTCAAGACTTCTTCGTAAATGTTTTGTCAAACATGAACGTAAATGTTTTGTCAAGACTTCTTCGTAAAATCAGACAAAAATAATGTTTAGGTGAAGAGGTGAGATTTCACCTGTTTTTTCACCTAATTTTTCACCCTCTTGAATTTTCATGAAATTTACACCAAAAATAATGTTTAGGTGAAGAGGTGAGATTTCACCTGTTTTTCACCTAATTTTTCACCCTCTTGAATTTTCATGAAATTTACACCAAAAATATACTACTAGGGTCATTTACGAAGAAATCTCAACAAAGTCTTTACGATGAAATCTTGACAAAACATAGACAAGAAAGTTCATGAGAAATTAGATGAAGAAGTCTTAACAAAGTCTTTACGAAGAAATTCATGAAAATTCAAGAGGTGAGAAATGAGGTGAAAAAAGAGGTGAAATCTCACCTCTTCACCTAAAATATATTTTTGGGTCATTTACACTCATTTACGAAGAAATCTCAACAAAGTCTTTACGAAGAAGTCACAATAAAACATCTGTCAAAAACCGCTTTTTAACTTCACTTAAAATGCCACGTAAGCTACGTAAGAATATACGTAAGAGGAAGAGAGCATTGAAACATCCAATAGTAAGACTAACACCACAACAACAGTTGCAACAACAAATGCTGAATGACCCCACTATGTTGCAACAAATGTCAAGCAATCCTATGCTTTTAAACCGAGTTGTTGGTGCACAGAGTGGAGGTTTAAGAGCGGCACTTTTAGCGAAAATGGCAGGCTATGGTGGAGCTGCAGACGGAACAGCCTATAACCCTCAAAGTCAAATGAATTTGAGTTCACTCAAAAATCAAATAACAGATGTCAAAAAGTCAAACATAGACATACAGAAGCAAATAAGTGAAAACGAAAAGAAACTAGAATATGACAGACACACAAAGAAACTCAATGAGTTAAACGTAGAGAAAAAGAAGAAAGAAGAACAACTGAAAGAACTAAGTACAGAGGAATATGCGAAAAAAGTGTCAGAAAAAGCAGCAGAAGTAGCAAAAATGGAACAAGATGTTTTAAATTTGAAAAACCATACTACTCAATATAAAGTACTGAAAGATGAAGAAATAAAACAAAAAGCCCTGAAGACATATATGGATAGCGATGAGTATAAAAAAGAAGTTGAAGCAAATGTAAAGGCAGAAAAACTTTTACAGTTGCAAAACCAAACCGTACAGTATGAAAACTTAGCACAAGAAAGTAAAAATAACGACGCGGCTATGCAAAAGGCAATGAAAAGCGCAGAATATATAAAAGCTAACAATGACTGGTTAGATGCCCAAGCCAACGCTAAAGCAGCCCAACTCATAGGGTCAATAAGGACAAAAATACAAGCGGATGAAGATAGTTCAAATGAAGCTTTAACAAATGCTGACTTTAAGAACGCTTTCGAAGCTCTTCATAGTAAGGTGAAACAAGTGAACGACTTCTCATCTGGAAAGAAACTGAAGTCTGAAGGTTTCGACAAAGAGTTAAAAGAAGTAGCACAAAATATGACGAAAATAACAGATGCAGCAACGAGACAGGCAGTTCAAAGTGCCTATGACGCCGTTAGAGCAACTGTTGTGGAAAGTCAAGAAAAAGAGTTACAACAGACCAAAACAGACCTAGTAAATGCTTTCTTAAAAACGAAAAGTCAGGTAGGACACTATGCTGCAGATGGAACATATGTGCCAGCTGGTGGAACTTATATACCACCAAACCCTCCAAGAGAAGCACCTGCACCAGGACTACCTAGAACATTTACATCGTCACATGGACACAGACACAGGCATGCACAACAACCAACACAACAACCAACACAACAACCAACACAACAACCAGCACAACAACCACCTCCACAACCAGCACAACAACCAACACAACAACAACCACAAACAGAGCAAGGACATAAAAGAAGTAGAGAACAAGGAAACCAAGAATTCTTAAAAATGCTTAAAGAAGAGTGTGGTTTCCCAGATACTGTTGACTTTAGTGACAGATATAAAGAAGCTATTGGAAAGTTCAAGGATGGAAATACTGACCCGAACCTATTTAGCTTTATGGCTCAGCACCAAAACGGATATAATCTCAAACCTGGAAAATACAAGCTCGCTAAGGGATATGATTTAATAGCATATCATCCAAATGACATGGATGAATTTACTCCGAGATATTTGATGTCAGAGCTAAATGACAATTCAACTTTCGTCATGAAACGCGTAAAAAATAGAGACGGAACGAAAGAACAAAAGCTTATGAATGCGGATGACGTAGATAGGGAAATTGTTAAAACGGTCTCGGAATATATGAAATGCCAGCAGATGAGGTACAAGAAACTCCACAGGAAGAATAGTTCAGATACAACCAGACATGGAAGAAATAGTTCAGCAACAACAGCTAGAAGAGCCTGAAGGAAACGAACAAGTCACTCCTTTGGAAACTAACTTCACAGAACTAGATGAAGATTTGGAACAGCCGAAAAATCTTGACCCTCAACAAGAGTATGCGGAGAATATGGAATATTTCCAAGAGTCTAAAAAAAATTCGGCTGACATAGTAGAAGAATATCGAAAAATGTTTGCCGACATACAAAAGACTCCAACACCAGATGAAAATATTCTGCATAGAATGGAAGTACTGAAAGAAAATGTACACAAATACAACAACCCTTTTTACTTACGAGCATTTAACGTTCAATCTTCGGATGAACTCGGTGAAGATAAAAGGTTAAATTTCAAGAAAACATATAGAAATGAAACATTGTTTAAAGTTCATTCAGAACCTAACCAAGATGGAAACAAACCTACTTTTGTTTCTGCAGACGATGGAACTACAATGAGATGGGGTCATAAAGCTAATCCGGATAGGTGGTTCATAAACTTACAACCACAATTCCAAGAAGTTGTAGACGCAATGGAAGTCAATGGTGAACCAGATATAGCTGGTATTTTAAGCGCGGCTTTAATGCCATTGAAAGATATGAAACATGCAGATATTTTGGACCAGTATGAAATGAACATGGCTGATGGAAATATAACACCTGACGTTCTAGAACATTTATCTCAAAGAACTACACAGAACCATAGAGATGGTATATTTGGTGAAGAGTTTAGAAAGAAAGTTAGGGAGGGAGAAGGAAGAGAACCTATTGTACATGACCTTGCAAACGAAAGTTTACAAAATGTCATAAAAACTTACTTTGCAGACAATGAACCGAGAAGGGATGAATATTTAAGAAAACTCAAATGGACAGTACCAAATGAAATGTTAGTATTGAAAAACATGTTCCTTGACAAAATAAAACCAACTACAGAAATAAACGACGCAAGACTGAAAGATTGGGTAAAAGCTTTCCCATTCACAAAAGATATAGTTGGTAACATGGAAAGAAAACCAGAATGGCTACAAAAACATATATTTGGAAACGAGCATATTCCATATGGACAGGCACTGTTTGAAGAGCTTGAACCGGAAACTCAGGAAAGAGTCATGCAAACAATACGCGAAGACTCAAATACAGACTATGACAAACTCTTTCTAGGATATAGGTTACCTGAGATGGGCGACCAGAGCCAAAAGGCAAAAAGGACATGGGAAATTTGCAACATACTAGATGAACATAATGCAAAGATGCAACAACTTCAAGCAGAGGGCAATGAAGGAAAAAGAAGAGTTAAAAACTCAGTCAGGAAGAAAGTAAAGCTTGGTCCACGTGGGTTCTATTATGACATATAAATCCAACTATTCTATATTTTTACTCATATGAAATGTACGCCGCTCAGAATATAACGCCAACAGTTTTGGATGCCATGAACGGAAATGTTTCCGAATGGTATAACGAATGCGACAATGCCATTAGAAGGTCAGAAATAGTTCCTGGAACTTACGAATATACAACTGCTGTTTCTTATGGAAACGTAGGTGAGTTTGGAGAAGGTTCTTCAACAACAGTAGATATTGCTTGCGACAGGTTTCATATAATTTCTATTGACAACTCTTTCTTATACGTGGAACAAGACATTGAAATAAAACCTTCTGCCAAGTTGTCTGACAAGAAAGGTTGCAATGGAATTTTCTATGTCGGATACCAATATGCTCCAGAAGTTTTCATGGGATATAAGATATATTCTAACTCTGACTTAGTTCAAACAGTAACATGGGCAAACTATGAATGGTTCGCTTTGAGAAACTCAGTACAACCACAAGCTAGAGAACAAACAGACCAGTATGCAACTATTGAGAAAATAAGAAGACTTGACCCTAACGTTCCAGGAGTTTATGTTAACCTTTCTGGTTCAGATGGAAATGCTGTCACTAAAGTAAAACTGAAACTTAGAGTTCCTTTGTCATCTTTCCTCATCTTCAGGTTTTTAAGATACTTGCCAAACTGGGCAGGAAAAATTTCTATTGAACTTACTCCAAGCAAAAATAACTTAGTCATTGCACCAACACAAGACCCATTCAGCATTACTGTAGCTGGAACTGGTGGAGCCAAGTTCTGTGACTTTTGCAAAGACAAAGTTGACTTAGACTTTGGTTTCTCAAACCTCAACACTGAAGTAAACTACTACTTCAATGCTGCTGGAACTGCTTGGGACCCAGTTAAGTTCACATGCGAAAAGTTTGAATGCAAGAGAATAGAAAGCAGACTTGCAGTCTATATGTTGGACCCAGATATTTCAAATGCTTTAGCTGCCAAATATATTGCAGTTCCGCTTATGTTCCTATACACCAAATATCTGTCAAAGACTTTGCAGGTGAAGTTGGAAACCAAAGTGCTGACCCAGGTGCAAGAACAGATATTGCTTTAACAACTGCAATGAAACATGCAGATACTATGTTTGTACTGTTCAGACGAACTATAAATGACTATTCTTGCTTCTACAACCCTGGTATTAAATACCATATAAACATAGATGGCAAATACTATCCAAGAGAAGAATATTCACAGTTGAATATGAGGTCATACAACTTGACATTAGATGCTATGAACTTTAACAACAACTTCACAACAACCATTAACCCTGAAATGCAAAGTTCTATTATGCCATATGTGAAAGTATGGACCCATACAGGAGCTCAAAAAACTCAATATACAAATGGAGACCGTTCAAACTTTTGGCTTGGCATTCCATTTGCTGACTCAGAAGACTTTATGGGTGGTATTTCAACTGTTGGTACAGTTCAAATACAATATACTGGTGACAGAGACGGTCCAGATGAATTGAAAGCAAAGAAGTTTACAAAACCAATAGCACTTTTCACGGAAGATGCTCTTTTGAAGATTCGTTCGATGAAACCTGCTGGGGCTCCTCAGATTGGTATAACGACAGCTTCCATCGAGCAGATTTTGGCAGCAGGTCAGTAAGTTGTTCTTGAACTGACTTCTCTCCGTCAAATATTGACAGTACGCCAGTTTTGATATAATATTGTATTATAAACTTACCTTTAGAAATATCGGTCAGTTTTGTTGTTATATTTTTGTCTGCTTCAAGAACTTTCACCATTTCAGTTATACCAACTTTCTTTGCTTTATGAAAATATTTTGGTTCAGCAAAGACTGCTATTCTATAACATTTTCCATTGTTTGTGTAAAGAACTATTCTGTCAATGTATTTGTATTGTTTGTGTGTGTAAACTTTGTTTTGCTTCAATTCGAAGAGATACTCAAATACGTCCATCTTTTTATTCTAAGTAAAATGTCATTTCCGAAAAATAGAAGCGTAAGTGTTTCAAAAGGTTTAATGGCGGTGGCAGATGTGAAGTTAAATTCACCAACTCAAACAAACAGTCAAAGTGTTGTTGTCAATGTCAAAGAAAGAGATGTTGAAGTGGGGAAACCATACGAAGACGAAGATGGTATAGCAATAGTTCCTGTAAAAGAACAACCAACATACCTGAAGTTAGCAGAGACTTAAGTTCTGTTGCAGATATTCGAAACGACTACCAACAACTTAAAGACAAACTTAAAACTCAGGAGAAGATTTGTCAGGCTTTGGGTATAATGTTAAACTTGGTCGAACACAACCCTGTAAAAGTGAACTCATATGTCATCGCACCTCATGAAGTTTTGAAAGAACTATTGAAACTTTTGACAGAGGCAGACGATATAAACATCAAAGAAATAGAACCCGACGTTAGTTGCTGTGGTGTTTCATATAATGTCATTGACAAGATATACGTTATGAAAGGAGGTGAAACGTTGAACTTAAAATATAGTTTCCCAGACGTTATAAAAATATTTGACGACCACAACATTTCATTAAAATTTATTTGCTAAGTAAATGGCAGAAGACACAATGGTTTATACTATTACGACTAAAAACCCTGAGTCATATAATTCTATAACAACAAACTTACAAAGTCCTCAAGGACGATATTGTAAACTAACCTTAAACACAATGACGACTAAAGCCTGTTTTGCTCTTTTGACACCAGAAGATTTTATTGTTGTGAATGGTAAAAAATACTCCTTTGAAGATACTTACTCAGATATACCACCAACAGGTTTTGTTGACTTATTTAATACTTTAAGGACGGATGTAACATGTGCTGCAACTAGAGCAGGTTTCATTATGTTTGGATGTCCGACTGAGTTTAGTATAAACGATATGAGCTATAATACAAAACTTATATCTGGTTTTTACTACCAACAATTTCCTATAACAGGAAAAGGTGTCATACAAGGTCTATCTGTTCCATTGACTTTAAGTACACCTATTTTATATATTGTTTCAAACTTAGGTTCAAAGTGCTATTCGAATGTCGACAGAAACTACTATGACCAAAAGATACTCATGCGTATAAACAACACATTCTCTGCTGGTTTGCCTATTGTTCATTCGAATGCAGAGTTTTCAGCTTTAGTAAACTCAAACACTTTAGCAAACATAAACTTAACCTTAGTTGACGCAAACTTTGTTCCTGTAAAACTTTTATGTCCTATGTATTTGTCAATGACGGCAGAAAGTTTCGAATTGGAAGATGCAACTGGTGAAAGTATTGTATTACAAGAACAACTTCAACAACAAATAGCTCAAGAACAACAAATGCAACAAATAGCTCAAGAACAACAAATAGCTCAAGAATAAAAAAATATTTTTTTTTATTTTTATAAAAATGTACAGAATAGACGTTTCAGATTTTTATGACTTCCAAGCCTTCAGAAATATGTGTCCATTTAGAGACTATAACAAAGCAGTCGAGAATTTGAAACGTTTAGTCATTTATGTCGACTCTGCCCCAGAATGTTATGTCATGAAAGAATGGGATGTTGTCTTTAACAAACCTAAAGCGACAATAGTTTCAGAACAAGAATGTAGACAAAAACTTAAGAAAATAAAAGTCGTACAAGTTGGCATGAAGATGTTAGATGCTTGGGATATCTTATTGTCAAAGTTAGAAGATTTTTCAGTTCGAGGTATAAAGTTCTATACACCATCTCCAAACTTCTATTCTATCTTCACTGGATATAAATATGAACAAGTAGAATGGAAAGAAAATGTTATAGAAGCTTGGTTAGACCATGTCAAAGAAATTATATGCAATGGAAACGAAAGAGTCTATGAGTATATCTTATGTTGGTTTGCAAACATCTTACAACATCCAAGTGCTAAAAATGAAACTGCTCTCATTATAATTGGAAAACAAGGAACTGGTAAGAATACTTTCTTTACAGATATTTTGTGCAAACTGTTAGAGGGCTATTCGAATCCGAATATGACAAACTTAGAAAACATCTGCGGTAAATTTAACTCTTCAATAGAGAATATGAAACTTATAGTATGTAACGAACTTCAAAGTATAGATACAACAAAGGTTTTAAACTCAGATGCTTTGAAGAGTCTTATAACAGACAAAGTTGGAGTTGTTGAAAGAAAATATAAAGACCAAAGAGTTTGTGAAAATGTTGCAAATTTCATCATGGTTTCAAACAATGCCGTTCCGATGAAGTTAGAAAGTTCTGACAGAAGATATGTAGTTGTCAGAACGTCAGATTCTCATATGCAAGATACAGAATATTTTGACGACTTAGCAGAAACTTTGACACCTAACTTTTACAACCACTTGTTCTCATATTTCATGACATTAGATATTTCTAAGTTCAATCCAAGACAAATTCCACATACCGAAGAAAGACAAACATTGTTAGAAGCAAACAAGAGTGTATATGAACTGTTTATAGATGAGACTAACTTTGAGTGTTTAGATGAAAGGTCATTGTACGATTCGTATAAACAGTATTGTCAAGAATATGGTTATATGGCAGCTTCTAAACGAACATTCTTGGCAAATGTCAAAAATCTTTTAGATGTTCAGAACGGCGTATATACAAAGAAAAATTTTTCTGAGTAAATTTAAAAAAAATATTTTTTTATCCGATAGAAAAGATGACGAAATATATTTCAGTAAATAAGTACATGACAGAAGTCAAAGAAGAACTAGACCCATTCGCATATTTGAATGTTTACTTCTACCATTTTGAAAAGTCTACATTTGACAAAGTTTGGAACATCGAACCGGTTAAGTTTGCTATTGTGACTAAAAATGGTGCGAAATTTGAAGACTTAGACATAGAAGGTTTGTTAGCAGTCAAAGAAAATTTTGACAGAAGGTTCTCAAACCTTAAAGAAGGCAAAGCATACAAACTTGTTATACCTTATGAACCAAAGAAAGCAGACGACTATGAATATTATGAGTCTAAGATAGTTGAAGTTCAAGGTAAATTGGGTAAAAAGATTTTAGAGTCTAAGCCAGTGTTTGCTCCTAAAGAGGAAGAGAACATTGACATTGACCCAGAAATGTTCTAAAAATAAAATTTTATTTTTACATGTCAAATTTCTTTTTCTCTGGAACTGGTTCAGGTTCTTTTTTCTCTTCTTCTACTTTCTTTTCTTTCTTTTCTCTCTTCTTCTTCTTCTTCTCTGGTGGAGTTATGTCAAACTTCTCAGAACCATATTTTTGTAAAAGGTCTTTGTCCTTTAATAGCTCTTCTATTCTGTTTTCTATTTCATCTTCAAGAACAGCGCATGTGTCTTCTTTGCATTCTAAGAACTTTTGTTGGACTTCATCTTTCCAATCGGCGTCATCTCTGTCAACAAGTCTGTCATTGACAAATTTTAAGACTTCTCTGCCTAATGTTTTATGGTTCTTGTCATATTCCCAGAAACAGAACTTTAGAACAAATTCACCTTTCTTGTTTACACTATGTAAGATTTTATGGTCGACAGATGTTTTGCTGTCGAAAAGCTTGTCTCGAATATAGATAGCGAAATCGCTAGACATTTTCTAAAAGATAAAAATTTTAATTTTTCTAAAAATATGTTAGAAAAAAAGTTTGCTGACATTGACAAAAAATTTGAGAATGTTTTAAACAAGAACAAGAGGAAGTTGGAAAATGCTCAGATAAAACCCATACATGACAAGTTCTTATTTGCTCAGAATGGTATAACAGGTCTAATTGCACCACCTGGGTCGGGTAAGACTTTCACTTATCTTAAAATGGCTGCACAACAACAAGAACTAGATGAGAAGAACCCATTCTATGAGTTAGTAGTCATTTGTAGTACTTCTGGTCAATTTGACCAAACCGTAAATTCGTTCAAAGATATTATAAAAAAGTCTAAGTTAGTATGTATAAAAGACTCTGAGTTGTTGGATTGGATAAAGAAGTACCAAAGAAGAGTTTTGAAGTACAATGCTATAAATGAGTATGTCAATTCGAGGTTTAAAGACCCAAATGAGGAAATGCAGAGAATATTAGAGAAGAAACACTTCAGAAACAAACAGAAAGAGATAGAATACATTTCGAAGAAATTGCAATCTTACGATTGGAAGACATACCCTCATAGGTGTCTTCTTATCTTAGATGATTTCGCCTCTCATCCTTTGTTAAAGAATAGAGAACAAGATATGTGTCGAATTCTTAAGAAGCTCAGACACTTTAACATCTCAGTTGTCATTTGTGTACAGACAGCAAAGAGTTTAAGTAAGGATGTTAAAAGAATACTTACTGATATCATACTTTTCCCTGGATTGTCCGAAGACGATTTCATGGAACTTATGAAAGAGTCCATGGCAGGTAAGTTTGACAGACATGAACTCTGGGAGAAGTACAAAGTCATACAAGACCCTCATACTTCTTTCAGAATTCACATCTACGCGAACAAAGTTCAAATTGTAAAAAGTCAAGCTTGAAAAATAAAGAGTTTGAGTCTTAGTCTGTTGTGGTGCTGGGGCTGTCGGTTCTTCTGGCTTTGGAATGGACTCGGTTGGTGGTACGTCAGTCATCCGTTTGTGTCCTGTCGGAAGGAAGAACTTTTCCAGTTGTCGGGAAATTTTTTTCCAGTTGTCGGGAAAAATTTTTCCTGAAGTTCGACCAAAAAGTTCTCAATTTTCGAAAATTTGAATGGTTTACGGACGAACAACAGAAAAATTTTTTCTTGTCGTCGGGAAAATTTTTTCCAGTTGTCGGGAAATTTTTTTCCAGTAGGAAGGAAGGACTTGGAATGCAAGAAGGAAGGACTCGGAATGTCGGATGGAAGGACTCGGAATGTTGGAAGGAAGGATTTGACGAGACAATTTACCTTATAGAGCTACCTGAGCCATCTGAAGTCAAGCTTGAAAAATAAATGGTTCATCTACCCTACTTGTTTGAAGTTGTCAAAATACTCTGTTATTTTTTCCTTTAACAATGGCAAATCTTCTTTGAATGTAAGAATTGTACAACCTTTAATATCATAGTGTGTTTGAGGTAACGTATCTTGAACTATTTGTTTCACATCTTCATTCGGTGTCATTGAAATCGGTAAGTTTTCGCGATAGAACCAATTTCTGTCAGATTTGTAAATCTTAGCAAGGTCGTAAAAGCTTTTGTTGTTTCTTCTGACTAAATGCAACATAACCATATCTCTGTCTTCTTCATTTTCCATCTCTTCAGTATAAATCATATACTTATAGTTCTTTTCCTTTCCTTTTGGTACCGAACGTGGTATTCTTTTCTGAATGCTTTTGTCTTTTGCTTCAAGCTTGTTCTCTAGCTCTTCACGTTCTTGTCTATGAATTTCATCTAACATCATGAAAATATAACAAGCGTAACGAGGTGAAGCCCACATTGCAACAGCATTTACTAAAAGTCTATGAACATAATATCCTCTCAAACCATTTGGCAAATTTTGACGATTTTCGTACGGAATCTCGACCCGCGGTTTTCTACCGGTCGCAAACATATGAGGAAATTCTTCTAAAAGTTCTTTTGTCTGTTGGTTTTCAAACCAATGACGTGCTTGCTTTGTAGAACGAAGAGCATTCAAAATACTTTGCATTTGGTACATATCGTCTTTGACCGAACGAATGAGACGTAACTGTTTGTTATACTGAACCCACTCGTATTCTTCATTTATAGCTTCATGGACTATAACTGTTGTTGTGTTCTCGGTTGTTGACATATCTGTCTTTATATTCCGGATAAAAAAAATATTTTATAAAAAACTAACTTTATTTTTTCTGTCTTAAGGAAATTCACGATTTTCATAGAGTTTTGGCGACCAGGATTTCTTACCTACTCGCAATTTTTTACGATTTTCGTACGGAATCTCTTCTCTCGGTTTCCGAGGGAAGCAATCTTATGCCATTTTACTCAGATTTTCATACGGAATTCAATAAAAATATATTTTAGGTGAAGAGGTGAGATTTCACCTCTTTTTTCACCTGTTTTCTCACCTCAGTTATTTTATAAGCGTTTCACATGGTAAACGTTATTTTTACATGTATTTTTCAGCAACTTCGTCAAATAATTTTATAGCTTTATCTATCTCATCTACTTCAAACGTTTCTTTACCTTTCGTGGGAGCACCATACATTTTCTCAAACTTTTCAAGTAGTTCTGTTTCAGCAGCTCTCATATCGTTAACGAACACAACCTTGACTCTATTGACTGTACTGTCATATCTTTGAGTTATATTATATGTTCTTCCTATCTTATATCTCTTTGTATTGAAGTCCTTCGGTTTCTGAACGATGTAAAGTAAGCCTTCACTGCAACGTTCTGAGTCGAATAAACCATATGTTATGAAGTTATATCCAACAACTGGGTCTAACCATAACAAAACTATTGGTATAAGACTTTTGTCTATAAGATATGCTGTAGTTCCATAGAATCTTACCGATATCATAAGCTCAGGATTTCTTGTCAAAATTTTCTGAGTTGAAGCATTTCTAACCCAGTCGTGTGTTTTCTTTCCAGATGGAGATATAATGTCTGACAAAGAATATTTGTTGTATTTCTTTGAGTATCTTACGTTTAAATCACCTATTCTAACCAATTTAGTGTTATTGTCTATCTTTTTAACTGTTTCAAACTCAGTGTTTGTCATATATGTTCTTACATACAAAATAAAAAAAATATTTTACAAAAAACTAACTTTATTTTTTCTATCTTAAGGAAATTCATGAAATTTGGTCATTTTTTCAGCAAAAATAATGTTTAGGTGAAGAGGTGAGATTTCACCTCTTTTTTCACCTGTTATTTTATAAGCGTTTTACATGAATTGTATGATGTATATTTGAAATCCTAAACAATTTCGTAGCTTCTATTTCTTCTGTCAGTACATCGAATGTTTTAACGATACCGAAAGTTTCTTTATACTTCTTCTTGACGTCAGATAGAAGGAAATCTTCTGCTGTTGGATAGTTTTTGTTCAGAAATGCTAACATATCCATTTTATTTTCTGCTGGTTTTTCTGCTTCTTTCTTTAAGTCTGCATAGTCGTTTCGCATACGTTCTATCTCTTTGACGGAGTAGTTATATTTCCTTATTGCTGCTTTACATTTTGAACATTGCGGATTCATTTTTGCGTTATATTCTGAAACCTTACCTGCTAAAACAACTAAGGCGTCAATTGCTCTCTTCATCTCGAACATAGCGGGTCTTATTTGTTCGTTCCATATTTTACACCTTCTGTCTTTATCTCTTATCTGCCATACACATTTTGCAGCTAATGAAACAAAGTTGTCGTAGGTCTTAAACTCCCCAGATTTATATATGTCAGAAACATTCTTATATAACATGTCGCAATCTTTGTCCATGACTTTGTGGTTGCAATGAAATCCAAGAAACTCATAGTTTACCTTACGTATGAACTTCTTAATTTCAACTGAGTCAGTTGCTTTGACTTCTATTTCATCGAATTCTGGAATAGTGAGCTTTTGTTGTTGGATTTCAGGTAGTTTAGGTAGATGGTCAATAATATCCTGCATTTCATAAAGATACTGTTCATTTTCTTCATCTTTCGCACTACAGTCTAAATTACTTGTTAACAGTTCTTGCTTTATCTTCTGGATTTCTGTTTCGAAAGTATATGAAGAAGGAATGAAGCTTTTCATTTCTACTAACATTGACGTAGGATTCATGACTAACGAGTTTGGTGCTGTTGTTGCTAACATGTTCTTACAATAAAAATAAAAAATATTTTTTTAAAAAAACCAACTTTATTTTTTATTTCGGGAAAATTCATGAGGTGAAAAAACAGGTGAAAAAAGAGGTGAAATCTCACCTCTTCACCTAAACATTATTTTTGTCGAAAAAAATGGTTCATTTACTCACAATATTTTTGTACAAAACGACCCCAAGCTTTTAACCTCTCTTCTGCAGCTTCTAATGCTATCTTAGCGAGTTCATATTCTCTAAATTCTCTCTTTAAATCTTCTTTTCCCATTGGTCTAGTTCGTATGGCGAGTCTCTATAACCAGAACATATCTCACGTTCATGTTCTATTTGTTTTTCATGCATTTTTCTAACTTCTTCTTCGAACAAAGGTTTTGCATTCTCTACTGTATCTTCAAGTTCTTCTTCATCTAATTTCTCATGAACTTTCTTGTCTATGGAGTCCATAATTTTTCCAACTGCTATGCAATATTTTGGAGAAGCCCACATTGCTATATAGTTTACAAGTCTTGGGTCTACATACATTCCTCTAACCTGTTTGATTTCATCAGGAATTCCTGCATGAATTTTGTATAAAAAGCAACCCGCTGTTTTCCGCGGGTTGGTATATTCTTCACAAAATGCCTCAAAATACTCTTCCCAGGACTTATTTTCCAACAACCTTCTAAAGTCTTTCCTAAACTGCTGACACATCTTTGTTGCATTTATATAACCATCCTTGTCTCTACGTAAGACTTCAATACCGTTGTAAGTGCCTTTTGTGAATGTTTCGCCATTAGATTTGTTCGTGAACGTTTTTGCTTCGACTGACATTTCTGTTCTTACAATAAAAATAAAAAATATTTTTTGGTGGGACGTCGGACATTCGTTTGTGGCTTAACCGTCGGACCACAACGATAAAAATCTCGACAAAACATATACGATGAAGTCTCAACAAAACATTTACGATGAAGTCTTAACAAAAAATATACGATGAAATCTATTTCCTGTGTTGTTGTCAAAATGTCATGTTGTCACACTTTTTCAAAAAGATGTTAGTTGACCGAGTGACCGAGTGACCGAGTGACCTGGTCGCCTAAAATATATTTTTTTCTATCTTAAGGAAATTCATGAAAATTCACCTGTTGAATTTTGTATAAAAAGCAACCCGCTGTTTTCCGCGGGTTGGTATATTCTTCACAAAATGCTTGTTTTGAGGTCGAGCCACTTTTGGCTCCACCTCTTTTTTCAACCAAAAACTCATTTTTGTCGAATTCAGCACAAAATTCATGAAAATCCAACGGGTGAGAAAACAGGTGAGAAAACGGGTGAAATCTCACCTCTTCACCTAAACATTATTTTTCAATACTTTTTCAGCACTTTTCCGTAGTTATATATGAAAGACAATTCGAGATAAAAGTCATAGTACAATGGTATAATATGCTGCACACCGTTTGTTGTGAACCAAACTTGAAAGTCAGAGAAACTGTTACTAGGTGGTTCGTAGAATTTAGAAGCAAAGTCATAAAAGTCCTTACCAATACAAAGAAAACTGTTGTTGCTTGAACTGAAACTTGCATGACACATAACATTTTGAGGGTCAAACACATTTCTATAAACTGTCAAATCTGTTGGTGGGCGTATAAATTTAAACGGACCATCTGGTGGCAATGGTTCGTTCTGGTTTAGTAACCGAAGAAATTGTGCCCAAGAACGTTTGTCTACTTCCCAAAATAAAAACTGTGTATCTCTTGGAGGGTTATTTTCAATCCTTTGAAATGAAACTGTGGAGTTCATCTTGTCATATTCTAGTTTCAGATAGTAAGTTCCGTTTAGTAGAGAGTCGTATTTTTCTTGCAATTCCCAATAATATTTGTTCATTTGAGTTTGAAAGTCATTTAGAGTCTTCTCAAGGTTTTCGTCTGAACGAATTGTAAAGATTCTCATTTCATCAAATTTGTCTATTAGACCATCATCACCTCTATACTGCCCGTGAAAATATACTGCGAACATAAAAGCGTTCGTTCTATTTGAAAACAAAACTCTTCTAAATCCTATTGCCTTTGCATCTGAAGGACTTTGAAGCCAACGAATTGGAAAGTCAAACCTGTAAGCACCGGATGAAATTTCTTCATCTGAAATAGTCCTACCAGCATTTGTAAAGATATAGTCTAACGGTTTTGTATCTGCTACTTTTGTTCTTTGTTTTTCAACCTGAAACATTTAATATATGTAAAAATATACTGTTTTAAAAAATGTTTTAAAATGGTATGCAATGTTTTATTTCATGCAATGTTTAACTATTTCACCATCTTCTTTAACACCCCAGTACTTACGCTTGGAGAGAACATGAACTTCGGAAAATACCTTGTCTAGCTTAAAACAGCCCATCTTTTCACCGACCATTCCCATTTCAATGAGTTTGTTGTATCCTTCTTCGTTCGTCATGAGTGCATCGATGTTCTCGTAGTATACCACAACTTTCGATTTGACCTCGGAGAAGAACTCATTGTAGTTGTCAAGGACTGCTTTTGCGAACTGAGGATAAGACCAATGTTCGACAATAGGTTTTACTGTGGTTACTAAGCCACCTTGACCTTGAGTAAATTCGTATTTCAAAACAAAAGGGGAGAACCTTTCAACAAAGTTGTCGACCTTCTCATAGTGTTTACTCTTCATCTTTTGAGGTTTTTTAATGGAATATCCCATGTCGAATTCATAAGCAATTTGAGTGTCATTGCAAGTTTGGGGTTTGAAGCTTTCCTAATATCATAGAGTTGTTGTATGACTTTTCCAACTGTATAGTTCCTTCCTGGGAACTCACCGTCTTCGTTTGGAATTCCAGTCGGATATATTGGACGAACCTCATGTATGCAGCGTTAAGGTCGACATAGTATATCTTTTCGTTTGAGTCGAACTTGTCGCAACCAATGGGTCCAGTTCGTGGAAATTCAAGTGAGTCTCTTATCTTCTGAGAAACTTCGCCTGCTATCTCATAAACATCGTCGAAGCAACCTGTTTCATATAAAACCTTCTGACCTAACTCCGATGCTCTCCAATACAATTTGACGTCAATTGGATGTCTCAATGGAAGTTTGTTTATAGCATCTTGAAGTTCTTGCAACCTCATTGGAAGTTCTTCTGGTTCAGGTTGGTATCCGAACAATCCAACTCCTTTTGGAACAGTGTACTTCTTTTGTGCTATAACTTTGTCTGGAACAACTTTGGTCTTGCTAACAATGAAAAGTTTGTTTCGTCTTTTGGTACAAAAGTTTCTGTCAGCTTGTCATCTGGAATTGGTTCCAACAAACCTTTCTCGAAAAGAATGTTTACAGCTCTGACAATGTTGCACTTGCCTTTTCCGAACAATGGGTTTGTAAGACTTTCGTTCAACATGAAGTGGTTGTGGACAATTGCAATCTTCAACCATGGTAAGTCTTTGTCAACAACATAGTCGTCATGTGAAGAACCTTTAGCTGTAGGTATGTTGACTCGGATATTGACATTTGCCAACGGTGCAATTTTTGCCAATTGACCTCTGAGAATGTACCTTGTCTTCACACATGACTCAAGATACTTCATCTTCTCATCTGTAACAAGACCAGAGTTCCTGAGACATGTAAGAATACAAGGTTCATTGACAATTGTTTCAATTGAATTGTAAATTCCATACCTTGTCAAGTCAATGTCAGACTTATTTATGAACGGGAAGTATCCAGCATGTTGTCTGACTGCTTGAGGGTTAGGTTGGTACCATTCGAACTTGACACTTGCAATCCCTTCAATTGCATTCAAAATGTCTGAGTCGGAGTCAACCATTTGTTCTCTCTTTGTAGTCTTGAAAGCGTCAAGAAGCATTGCAGCTGTTGTGACATTGCCATGTGCATAGTAAATGTGACCGTCCAAATCTGTTACGGTTAGTCTGAGATTGTATCCTTTCTTATTTCCGTCTTGTATGGCAGCAAGTACACCCATGAAGCCTTCTTTGTTCTTTCCTTCGTCAAAGTTTACTGTAAAGGTTCGACCAGATGTAATTTGACTTCTAACTTCACGATACTTTTCATATGCATATCTTGTTCTTTCCATGGGAGCATGTGCGTCTTCACCTTTTCCTTTTTTCCTTCTCAAAGGATGCAATTGTTCGTCATGTTTCCAGTAGAATCTGGCAAAGCCGTCGTGTCCTTCAACTTGAGGCTCACTAACATCGAAAGGCATGTCCATAAGACGTTCTTCTTCTAACCTCTCTAACCTGTTTGGATAATTTGCGCGTGCTGTTTCCAAGTCCATTTCATAGGTCAGACCAGCCAGTTTGTCATAGACTTTTATGGGTCTTCCCTTCCTATATTTAAACTTCTTTGAAACTTTCCAACCATATCTTTCTAACTCTGCTTTTATTCTAGCAGACCTTCTATCCATTCTATACGGGGGCATTTTTATAAAAATAAAAAAATGTTTTTTTTTCTTTACTTTACATAACCGCCTGCTGCCATAAGTCTTTGACGCCAACCCATACCAGCTAATGAAGGTTGACTTGGTTTAGTTTGGAAACTAAACTTTGGTTTTGGTTTATCTTCAGTTTTTGGCTCCCCTTCTTCTATCGGTTTTTCGTCACTTTTCGGTTCCTCTGACTTTACCTCACTTGCAGGTATGGTTGTGTCGTTAACGTCTTCATAAATATCATATGCCATTTGTTTTTGTTTTCCTTTCAACTTTTTGTGTTTGTTGTAAAGTTTAGAATATTTCGACTCTAAGTCAATGAGATGTTCTATAATGAACTGTTGGTCAGTGAAGTAAACTTTTCCATCTGTTGTCTCGAAAGCTCCTTCAGACTTCAATATTTTATTTGTGAGAGTCTGTTTCTTTTTTGAGATACTAGCCGTTCCATTTCTATGAAAAGTGACTTTGTAGTTAGGGTTTGTATTTCCAGACCTGGCACTTTCTATTATTGAATTTTTCTCTTCATCTGTAAGTTCTTTGACGGGTTTTGACAATGGTTCTGAACTTTTTGTTTGTGGTGTCAAATCTACCGTTTCAACTTCTTCGGTCATTTCATCTCAGTAAAAAATTTTAGTTTGTTTTGTTTTCAACTGGTTGTTTAGGTTTTTTAAGTCGGTCTAAAACTTCCTGAGGTATAGGGAGGACTTGACAAACACGTGGTTGTGTAACTGCTGGAAGTCGACAAATCCATCTTGAACCCATTTGTCTCAATGCTGTATTGTTCATTTCATCTCAGTAAAAAAATTTACATTCCCCACGTTTGAGGTGGTTGCGGTTGGTTATTGTTTACCCACTGTTGTGCATGGTTATATCCTCTGTTAAAGAATCTTTCACCTTGGTCCATATAGTGTCCTGCTTGGTTATAGTAGTCATTTGCTTTGTTATAATAGTTTCCTGCTTGTCTTCCTACATTGTCCATCCATCCTTGAACTTTTCCTCTTGTTTCAGGATTTGGAATAAGATTTGCTGCATCTCGTGCTACATCCCAACCTTTCTGTACAGTTTGTATAATAGGTTGTGCTTTCTCTTTAAGTATACCTAATGTACTCAAAATCTTCCTTCCAACTCCAAATACACCTCTGGCTATTGTTCCCACTGCGGGTAAAAATCTGGATGCAACTCCTGCTAATGCGCCAAATAAACCCATTTCTTATAGGGTAAAAAATGACGAATCCAAACAAGGACCCCTATGTTTCTAAAGCAACAAAGAAAGCACTCATGGTAAAAATCTTTAGTTCAACACCAAATGCTTGGTTTATGGATATCTTGGAAAACATTCCGAGATATAGAGAAGATGGACCACCATACTGGCTAATATTTGTCGGTCAAAACACAAGATACTGTGAAGCCATACCATTATGGTCCAAAAATATTTTAGATGTGAAAACTGCTTTGACAATATTCGTTGACAAATACCATCCAACAAAACTGACATCTGACTGTGAAAGTTCTTTCAAATCAGACGATATTAAAAACTATCTGCGTTCAAAAAATGTAAACCAATATTTCATTGTCGACCAAAACCATTCTGCTCTTGGTGTCATTGACAGTTGTATAAAAATCTTAAGAGACTTAAACCAACCACAAGGTGGTGAAGCAAATGAAATGTCATATGACGACAAATATAGACACTTCTCCATGGCAAAGATGAGACAAGTTTTAAATATTTACAATACCCGTAAACAAAAAGGTTTGGGAAACCACTCCCCCGAAGAAATGAAAAACAACCCTGACTTAGAGAAAGACTATATATTTAATAGTTTAGTCAAAAGAGACAAACAAGAAAGAATGCCAGGCTTCAAACTTCAGAAAGGCGACAAAGTAAAAATAGAAATACCTAAACGCGACCCATATGAAAATACTATTGACTATGACAACAATGGGAACCCGACAGGTACTCACATTCGTGTTCGAAAAATAGAAGAAAGTATACAAGAGAATATTATGAAGTTTTAGGCAAACATGGCAAAATGTACAGACTGCAAGCAGAAGATAAAACTACTATTGTCAGACCTCGTTTCAAACTTGTCAAAGTTCAAGGTGGTATACTTTCAAAGACAGTTCCTAACAAATATAAGACAACTCCTGACGAATATGCTAAAGAAGTTGAAAATGACGACTAAGCAATTCTATACCATGCGTAAACTGTCATGTAAGGTGGCATGTAGTCTTTACTTTGTCCCGTTGTTTGCGTATATCCTGAAACGAAATGTGTATGGTTTCCTTCTCCCTGAGTGTCACTCCAGTAACAATTTATAGCAAACTTAACGTCGTCTTTAACATCATATCCTTTACCTTTTGTCATTCCTGACCAATCCCAATATCTATGCTTATGCCAACCTGCTTGAGATGTACTTAAATCTATGTAGTGACTGTGCGCAGGTAAATTTTCACCTGAAATCGTTTTACTTCCACCTGTTTCCTTTGAAGAGTTTGCACAATACAAAAACCTGTCGACTATTTGTTCCCATGCACCAACACCAAACATTACTTGAGGACCTCTTGCTTCCATAGATGTATAAATAGAACCTACTGGGTTCATTAAATCAAACATATGAGATATTATAGGATTGTCTCTTTTGAACTTAAAATATAGTGCAACTATTTCAGGTTTCTTCTGGTTCATGTCAGAATATTTTTTATAATATAATCTTATGTTTTCAGGGTAGGTAAAGTCTTGACTATAATATTTATTTCTGTCATCTGTATAATAGTATACTATTCTCGTTTTTTCTATTGCATTATATCTTTTATATCTATAATAATCTAAATATAATGTTAGCTTTTGTTCATCTACATGTGGTGTTCTTTCGTCATCTCCATAGTCATAATAGTATGGTGCTGGAGCTGGGTCAGGCAATGTCATATCTGCCATTTCATAAACTCTTAAATATTTCTTTTGTTCGTCTCCATATATGTTTAAGTAACAGTTGTTGTCTAATGGAACTTTAACTTGTGTACCATCGTTCTTTTTATAGCTTACATACATTTCATTGTTATTTTTCGGAATGAGTTTATACCGTGTACCATTTTCTAAGGACTGTACCAACTGCCATCTAAAATATTTATTTTCTTCATTGACAGAAAAGTCACCAACAATAGTTTCAATATTTTTGTTCCAACTAAACTTTGGTATATTTTCATTGACATTTTTTATCTGCTTTCTTCTTCAAGGCTAACGTTTAAGTCTGTTATTTCAGAAGATGTATGTGTATGTCCAACGTCACTTTTCTTTTAAGGTTTCTTGTAAGTTTTAATATTTGCAATGGTATGTGTATGTAATCACTTTTTCCTGTTTAAGGTTTCTGTAAGTTTGCAATATTTGCAATGGTATGTGTATGAGTCTTTTTAGAATATTCGTTTCAGCTCTTGTCACTTCACTTGACATTTTATTGTCAACATATGTTTTGTCAGCTTTGTTGTCAACATCTGCTTCGTTGATATGTTGCATCTGCTCTGTCATGTTCTTCTTGAACTTTTCAATGACATACTCTTTTGTCAGCTTTGTGTGTCAACATCTGCTTTCGTTGCATATGTTGCATCTGCTCTGTCATGTTCTTCTTGAACTTTTTCAAGACATACTCTTTGTCAGCTTTTGTTGCCAACATCTGCTTTCAAAAAGAATTCATCTATAGGTTTCTCGTTTAAAGTTCCTTTTGTTGGATTTTACACAGACAGTATGGTTCTTGTTGTCTTGAAATAGAAACTCATCTGTCATTGGTTTAATGTCAGTTTTAAGTTTCCTTCTTTCAATGACTCAGATATCTTAGAATAGTTTGAAAAGTTTGTTGTGTTCTTATTTAGAGCTTGTATAATGAGTTGTCGGTTGTGTTGTATTTCTCTCATAGACGCTGTTCATTTGACATTTTTATTCTAGATAAAATATGCTTCCAATAGAAAAAGAAAATTTCAAGAGTTGCTACAACTAAACCATTAGATGAACTTTTTACTAATGTCGGTCAAAAGTTTGAGACAGAGACCGTAAAAGCATGAAGGCTATCGTTTGACTACCCATTAAGATGGTTAAGAGACCCATCTGTCACAAAAGCTATTGGCTTTCGTAGAATGAAGTTTGTGTCTGTAGAAGATAAAAGTTTTCCATTTATTGTAAGGTTTCATATAGATTATTATCTGAAGGGAAACGAAAAATGTGGAAGAAATTGAGCTAATACAAGTTGACCTTTCATCTTCTCTACAGACTGCGTTAAAAAAATAGAAGATAAAATAAATTCATGTTATGCAAAATATGCTGATGAATATGCAAATACCGAGAGCACACTTTATGTGAGAATTGTATATGACAAACAAAATTCACAAGTGTCATTTCAAATCTACGAAGACAATCCAAAGAAAGACGAACAAATATAACAGAATTCACTGCAATGTCATGGTATTATTTGCAAAGAATGTTAAATCAGAAAGTCGAACTTCCTTTAGCAAATATTTACAGTCGATATGCAAGAGATGAACCATATTTATTTAAAGATGTTTTCGACCCAGCTGCTATTATTGTTCATGCTTCATTTTCTGGCGCCCAAAACTCTTTTTATGCTTGGCAAATGACTTTTACGAAAAACCTACAAAGTTATACGAACCACCAAGTGGAAGTATTTCAGACTTTCAAGTATGGTTTACTACAGATGGAAGAAGAGAATAATTCCATTATACCATGCGTTTTACTTAGAACTTAGTTTCATATACAACTACTATCGAACGGTAAAAATATAATTTTTAATACGGTTGAGGTGTTGGATTTGGTTGCCAACTAGACTGTGGTGCAGGTTCAGGCTGTTGTATAACAGGAGCTTGTTCTTCTGGTTCAGGGTCTTTAGGTATAATACCAACGAACTGACCTACTCTTTTACCAATATTTTTGACTCCGTTCCAAATTCCTCTTCCTACGGTTTTTATTCCATTCCATATACCTCTTCCAACATTTCGAAAGAAGTTTCCTATCTTACTGAAGAAACCCATTTTACTATATGTAAAAATCTAATGTCCGCCTAGTCTCTTACGTTTCCTGTTGAGTTCCAGCATTCTTTAACTGGAGCTCATACATTCTGTTTCTCCTCTGGTAGAAAACATATTCTGGGTCAACTCCTGTGTTCGCGTCATCTGCATAAAGTTGTTTATATCCCACTTCAGGGTTTGTATAAAACTCTTTCCATCTCATATTTGCATACCATGGTGGCAAACCTAACGCAGCGTCATTTGACATGGCAGTTTGCATTTGTACATCTGTTGGCACTTGACCATAGTTTGCCATTGCAGTTTGTATTCTAACTTCATTTGGAATATTCTCTGGTTTGGTTGTCCAGGTTGCTGTGCATTCGCTAAGTTCTGTGCGTCCATTTAATATTAGATAAAAATATCTCTTACGAGTACATATACTGGACATTTGCAGGCATTGGTTCATCTTCATATTCTCTATATCTTTCTGCCACGTCAAATAAGTAAATGACACAATGGAAAAAACCTAAAACAAGTAGTCCTATTTCAAACCACATTTACTTACCAATAAAATTTCTTTGTTATGACACTTTCTCCAGTTTATAGGACCTCTCTCATATTCTATCTTATCGTATCTAAACTCATAGTCATGTATGTCCTCTAACCATCTCATGACACTTTCCAAACCACTTTTATCGGATGTAAAGTAAAAGCATGGATGGTTATGTAAAACGTCTAAAGTTTCTAAAGAGTCTCTCAAAGTCCAGTCTACTTGGTATTGAAAATCCCATGTGTTAAAGAACGGCGGGTCCACTATAAAGAAAACATTTTCCTTGTCTTTATATTTTTCATACAAATCTGTCCAATGACATCTCACAAACTCTATACCCTCAATATATTTTTCTATGTCCTCTTTGAAAACATTTGTATAGTTAAGATATAAAACTTTTGACATAAGTGTTTCAATGTCATGAACTCTTATAGCACCACTATATAATAGTCTAGCAGATATACTATCCCAGTCAATATACTCTGCCTTTTTCAAAACCTCTCTGACAGTATTTTTCTTATCTAATGGTATACGTTCCATCTTACCTATAGGTATCTTTTCTTTTAACTCTTTCAATATATTGTTTGTGTCTGGAATATGTTTGAGACGGTCCATATAGTTGTCGAAGTCATTGCATATAATCTTTGAGTCTGGGAATATTATATGGCACAAATGGGATATATAGAAACTTCCACCGAACAAATCTACAAATGTTAGACTATTCGGTAGTTTCTTAAGTTCTCTCAATATAATATCTTTACATCTACTCTTATTTCCAAAGAACGGTAACGGTGGTTTTGTAAAATTCATTTATATATAATAATAAAAATGTTTTTTTCCTGAAAAGTGACAGAAAAGTGACAAAACATGAAAACATATATAATTTGTGAAAAGCGACACATTATATAATGTTTTCGACCCAGAAGAAGGCTTCTTCCCAGAAGCAATGGAGGAAGAAGAAGAGTCCTCCGAATTCACACCAGAAGACTAAGAATTTTCCGAATAAAAACTTCATTTATACTAAACATCTTCGGGGCTAGAGGGCACGAAGTGCCTGGAAGCCCCACTACCTTTTTTTTTTTTTTTATTACCTCATTTTACAAGGTTTTAAAAATATATCGAAGTTTCTCAAGACATTTAAGCATCTTCGTAACATATTTATTAAAGTATACCAATTAGTGAATGAGGAAATCAATTTTATTCAAAGATTTTCGATGAATTCTTTTATATGATTTTTTTACACGTATCCGCCTAGTGGGCGCATACAATTCCTATATATTTATATAAGATGTTAATTTTGCTTCTTCTTTACCATATATATATACCAATTTTGGATCAGAAAATTCATTCAAAAATATTAAAAAAAAATCTAAATTTGATTCAAAATAATAACACTTTTCTATCGTCCTGCGCAGAACGGAGGCATCCTATGGTTCAGGTGGCACCCATATATACCATATAAATTAAACGCCCACTGTTTCCTGTATATAATTGTTTAGGCAAACAAGTGGTTTGAGTGAATTTGGTAAAGTTAAAATGTCAATTTTTGCGAGATAAACTTCTTCCCATTTTTTGGAATTGGAGTTTTATAAAAACTTTCCACATGGTAATAATCTTCCATAACTATAGATTAATGAATAAAAATTCATACTCACATAATAAAAAAAAGTTAACTTTATCTTTTGCAACAATAGTAAAGAGATAATAACCAAATATGTCAAGAAATTATTTTCATGCAAATGATAATAAATGCTTTATTGCAAATCCTTTCGAACAATCAAGTGCTGTTTTACCATATTTATTCTTCGCTTCTTTATTAGCTCCAACTGAGATAAGATATTCAACAACTTCAAGATGGCCATATTTTGATGCATGAATGAGTGGAGTATATCCAGAATTATCCTTTGCTTCTATATTAGCTCCAACTGAGATAAGATATTTAACAACTTCAAGATGACCATATTTTGATGCCAAAATGAGTGGAGTATATCCAGAATTATCCTTTGCTTCTATATTGGCTCCAACTGAGATGAGATATTCAACAACTTCAAGATGACCATAATATGATGCATGAATGAGTGGAGTATATCCAGAATTATCCTTTGCTTCTATATTGGCTCCAACTGAGATGAGATATTCAACAACTTCAAGATAACCTTTTTCTGACGCCGAAATGAGTGGAGTAGATTCAAAATTATCCTTTGCTTCTTTATTGGCTCCAACTGAGATAAGATATTCAACAACTTCAAGATGACCTTTTTGTGATGCCAAAATGAGTGGAGTACGACCATGCTTATCCTTTGCTTCTTTATTGGCTCCAACTGAGATAAGATATTTAACAACTTCAAGATGACCATATTTTGATGCCAAAATGAGTGGAGTATATCCAGAATTATCCTTTGCTTCTATATTGGCTCCAACTGAGATGAGATATTCAACAACTTCAAGATGACCATAATATGATGCATGAATGAGTGGAGTATATCCAGAATTATCCTTTGCTTCTATATTGGCTCCAACTGAGATGAGATATTCAACAACTTCAAGATAACCTTTTTCTGACGCCGAAATGAGTGGAGTAGATTCAAAATTATCCTTTGCTTCTTTATTGGCTCCAACTGAGATAAGATATTCAACAACTTCAAGATGACCTTTTTGTGATGCCAAAATGAGTGGAGTACGACCATGCTTATCCTTTGCTTCTTTATTGGCTCCAACTGAGATAAGATATTTAACAACTTCAAGATGGCCATATTTTGATGCCAAAATGAGTGGAGTATATCCAGAATTATCCTTTGCTTCTATATTGGCTCCAACTGAGATGAGATATTCAACAACTTCAAGATGACCATAATATGATGCATGAATGAGTGGAGTATATCCAGAATTATCCTTTGCTTCTATATTGGCTCCAACTGAGATGAGATATTCAACAACTTCAAGATAACCTTTTTCTGACGCCGAAATGAGTGGAGTAGATTCAAAATTATCCTTTGCTTCTTTATTGGCTCCAACTGAGATAAGATATTCAACAACTTCAAGATGACCTTTTTGTGATGCCAAAATGAGTGGAGTACGACCATGCTTATCCTTTGCTTCTTTATTGGCTCCAACTGAGATAAGATATTTAACAACTTCAAGTTTACCTTTTTTGATGCCCAATCTAAAGCTGTACCACCATATTTGTTCTTGAATTCTTTGTCACAGCCACATTCAATGAGAGATTTAACAAGTCTCAGATTTCCTTCTGAAGATGCATAATGAAGTACATTTTTATCATCATATTGTTTTTTCCAAAGTTCTGCTTCACATGCTTTTAGCATCATTTTTTGATTTCCTTTTTCTGAAATTTCTTCAAAGAATTCGTAGATTTGTTTGAAATCTTCGGAATTTTTAAGTTCGGAAATTTTCGAAAGAAAATCTCTTGGTAAATTGTTTCCTTCTTTCGCTTTGAGTTGAGAGTGAAGAGTTTGCATTTCTTTCTCAACGTTTTCTTTTTCTTTTTGGTTCAGATTTAAATCTGCTTGATGTTTTTCGATTTTATTTGTTGTATTGGATTGATCCTTTTGTAATTGTTCTAAAATGCCAATAATTCCTCCGAATATTCGCATCTTCATGTACTTTTGAACTGATTTAAGTGTTGAAATGGCATCTTGTAAGTTGTTTATTGAAATATTAGCATTTCGAGTGCAAGTAAACAATTCACATGCTGAAATTACAGAACTAGATTGCGCAAGAAGAGAATTGAAGTTTTCAGGAGTTAAATTCGCGAATTTCATGATTGATTCGATATCTTCTACTTTGAGTGTGCTAAAGAGATTATCCGCTTTAATGTAATCTTTGACATGTGAGCCAATATTTTCGTAGTTCAGAACATTTTCCAGACTCATTAAGGGTGCACCCGCATGTACGTTTATTTGAGAGGAGGAGGATTACCCTCTCAATTTTGAAAGCTTCGTTAACTTAATATCTCGATGAATATTGTATTAAAATTGAATTTGCCCATACCAATATATCTGATACAATATCCTTAAGTTTTACTAAAAAGAATTTTTTAAAATCCCTGCAGATTCGGGGATTTTTAAATTTTTTGATTTTTTTCGAAAATTTTTCGGGAAAAAAATATTTTCAGAAGAGCCTTAATGGCTAAGTTTTATGTTTAATGTTGAGTATCAAAAAGAATGGGCATCTGATATAGCCATCATATATCCCAGAAGCAAATAAAAATTCTGACTTTTTAAGCATAAAAAATGAAATTTTATTTTTTGCAAAAAACAGGCCACTCGGATGTACGTTTATTTGAGAGGAGGAGGATTAAATTTTTGAAAGCACTAAAATTTGTAAATATGCTAGTTATATAATAATATGCATTATTTTAAAAAATAAAAATTAAAGCACGTTAAAATCTTTTTTGATGAATTTTTACAAAAGCTACTCAGGATAATGCAAGATATGAGTAGTTAAACATAAATTTCAAATCAGATTTTACTTATAATAAATATTTTAAATTTCCGAAAATTAAGTTCAGATCGACTCTATACGTAGTAAATACTAAATAAGGTGCCAAAAACCTATTAAACAGTATCAAAACTATCAAGATTGTAATGTTTTTGAAGAAAAATTTATAGAATTATGGACTTCAAACAGATATTATGTAAATAAAAATAATATAATGAATTTATTTATTCGTATAATAGCAGTAATAAGTCGATTATTCACTTCTACTTCTGAGATTTGAATTTAATTTCGACAGAAAAAGAGATTCAAGAGGAAAATACTAGGGGATACAAACAGCCACCATGACAGGATTATTATGGAGCCAAGTTGTATTTTTTGATATTTTTAGAGTTTTCCTACCTATTTAGGTACCAAGTTATTGCTTAAAAATTAAGGTTCTAAATTCTGAAGTTTACATGATCCTCCCGGGCGCACCCTTAACAAAATTTCGAAATATTTTCTTGATTTCAGAAATTTTTTAGAAATTTTCCATCTCAAAACTAATCAAATTACTTCAAATCTGCCAATTTCATGCAATATTGGAACTATTTCAATAGATTTAAAGCTCATATAAAAATAATTGTAAATATCTTCTTTATTACGAAGAATTTATCACACGATATAACATTTGCATACTAAAATCTGCATATTACACTGTATTTGTTCATTTTTGTTCAATGAATATTGATTATTCATACTAACGTATTCATTGAATCAAAGATCAAAGGATATTACTGACAATCAGTGATATAAAATAATTAAATCAATTAAAATATCTCTCGTTTCTTTATTTAAACTCATATCTTTCGATTAAATTTACAATTTCATAATTTTAGCATTTTAATGCAATTAAATTAGTACCAAATTATTACATCCTCCGATTCATTTCAAGCCACCCCAAACATTTTCAACTCTTTTACAATTTACAGCATATTTTTTACAATTATCGAATTTTTATCAGATTTAGTATATCGACGATAAATTTTATCGAAATATAAAAGCGTGTTACTTACTAATCAGAGTTTTTCGCGATTCATATTTTAAAAAAATCCATAAATTTACCACTTCTACAAATTTGTCAAAAATTTTTTTTTATCATTCTCATGCCGAGCTTGCGTACTCGTTTATTCCTTTTTGTTATCGACTGAAGGCTTCTCTCGCATTTTCTCAAGCTAAAATTTATTCATCATGAGATGAGTGAGCAAAATTACAACTTGAGCTCGTTTGAATCATCTGCCCAAAGACATAATATGTTCTTAATGTCAAAGCCAGATTCTAATTTTTACTGCACAATCAATTCTCAATTACCAAAATTTATGAGATAAATGTGCAATTTGCTTACGAAATTGTAATATATACTGTTAGTGTATCTCGATTAATATACTTTTAAAGACAATTTTAGTGAGAATTATCAAAATTTACCAAATTATTATATCCTATTAATCTGGACATATGAACGTTTGATTAAGTTAAATATTAAGAAAATGTAAATATTTGGAATAGTAAATATGAGATTAATACCAATGAGCTTGAAACAATCTTTCATCTTATTTTCTTTAAAAGAAATATCCATCTTGAAGACTTGAACAATTTTCTACCTGTTATATAATGTTACTGTTTTCATTATGGAGGAAAAAAAAAAGAAAAACATTGCATTTAAAATAAAGAAAAGAATCCACAATTTTTACATGAAATAAAAGAATAAGTACTCTTTCGTAAGAAGTTATTGATCTTCAACATAGAACTCGCAATCAATAGATCTGAGTTCAACTGTCCAAGAAAGCATCAAAACGCAAATAGAAATCACAAAAATGAATTCCAATGAAGCAGTTAATGATGCTTCCTTATGTGGGATTATAAATCTAGAAATAAACATGAAGAAATAAGTTAAACTAGAAATAATAAGGAAAACTAAGCGAGTAACCTTAAGACTTGTATTCATACGCTTCCAAAGGATGGCAACAACGAATATGTTAAGAAGTAAAATTAAGAAAAGTCCTACCATTGTTAACGAAATATGAGTTGCGAACTGTGTATCAAGAGTGCAACCTGCTAGGCCGAAGTAGCAAAGTGGGATAATGAACATGAATGTTTGTCCGAGGCGAACGAACCATGTTGGGAAAGTACGCCAAATTTCACCCCAAACAATCATCAAATAAATGAGAATAATAAGTAAGAAAGTAATAATTGTCATTGCTGGTGTGAAAAACTTTGTATTATAAATTCCTGTAACGACTTCTGAAATTGAAGGAACATATCCAACAAATCTGCCTTCCATGAAGTAGAATATATACAGGACAATCATCGAGAGAATAAAGAAGACAAAAATGTAGGTCGGAAGGAGCGAAATGTTGAATCTAAAATAAATCATTGATAAAAATAAATTTTTATCGTCTTCAATAAAAAATATAAGCTGTTTTATACTGAAATAAGAATGAATCTGAATGTGTATAAAGAGATATAAAAATCATTCTATACAATGACTATCGAAATGCGAAGATATTGCGAAGTTCTAATTTCATTCCCTTTTCCGATCCCCACTTTCATCAATGGATCAGTGGAGTAATAATTTGAATAATATTTTACAGATCTGAGATAGTTGAAATATCCGAGAAGATTTGTCCAACAAAATGCGTCACCATGGATACGCAGGCCTGGATTGAACATGATAATATGCTTCAGATCTATCACGGAATATATTGTTCAAGCAGACTTCAAACTAATAGAAGAATTACTTGCAGGGTCGAATCCTTTCCAAGTTTTGAAACTCAACACAAACAACACATAGTTTAATTGTTATGTTTGTTTATATTTGTAAACTTTCAATTGGATTTTACATCAGTCATTCTTAATTCTATTAATTTAACACTTTAATAATTTAAACTTCATTTAAAATAATACATAAACTAATACCTCATTATATTTATTCTAAAACCAACCTTGGAATGTGGAGAAACTGAATGGTGAGCTGAAAAACATATCTGCGCCACGTGATTTAAGTAACTTTATCATTTTCTCGCACTCATTTATTTCTGCAATATGAAGAGCTGTATCACCGCATTGTGATGTTATATTAACATTCGCACGATTTGTAATAAGAATTTCTGCAATTTCCGTGTTATTTTTTGCGGCTGCATAATGAAGAGGAGTTTCTCCAATAAAATTTTGCACATTTATATTTGCGTCGTTTGAAATAAAAAGTTCGACACATTTTTTATAATTACGATCCACTGCAATATGAAGGACAGTTTCTCCTACATTGTTGCTTGCATTGATATCTGCTCCATGAGAAATAAAATATTTACAAAGATTATATGCAATTTCCTTATTGTTATTCTTTATGACAAAATGAAGAGCAGTCATTTTCTCTTCATTTGTTGCATTGATATTAGCGCCATAATTAATAAAATATTCACAAAGAGATTGAAGGTGAAAACAGGGTGAATAAACAAAACAATTGTTGATGTCATTTGTAATATCGAAATATACTAAAAATGCATGAAGATTATTGTAAATTGTACAGCACCTTAAGTTAAGATCTATATGGTACTGATTCATCAAGTAAGAAACAAAATCAATGTTGTGCGAAATAATTGCATTGATCATGCAATTTCTATTTGGTCTCTTTTCTTTCAAGCATTCACTCATAATTTCTTGATTTCCGCCTAAAAATGAAATAATTTGTAGATTTCAGAATCGGTAATTTCTGAATCGAAATCTGTCATTAATAACTTGAAGCAATCAACTGCACCATAAAGACTGCATAATTCCAGAAATGTATATCCACTAGAATTAAATTTAGGTGGATAGAATTCTCTTGGCAAAACTAGATTTTCATCAAAATCATCTTTCGTTAAAATTCTGATAAATAATTCTTTTTCATCATTGGAAATTGCCTTGCAGGCTGTGTAAAAATCAAGTTCATTCAAAGAAAGGTACTTTAATTCAAAATTTTTAAGTTCTTCATCATAGTTTAGATGAAATTCTTCATTAAGCTTTTTAAGAATTGTCATGTAAGAATTAAAGTATCTACTGTTGTATACTATTGCAATGACAATCAAGCTGTAAATCTCATCTGGCATTAAATGTACTAGATTAATTAAATTAGACTTAATTGATTCATAAACTTTGTTGATTTGGCCTTCATCTGAACATTTAAGTCTAAATATTGTATTATTGTAATAAACAGAAATTCATCAAAAGTGACAGCTCTCAATTTTTTGACATTTGTAAATTCTAAATTGAATGAGAAAAATGAAATAATACTAAGCATAATACAATATTCTAGATTTAATTATAATTAGGAAAAAGTTAGTTTTGAGAGTACTTTTCATAGGCATATAGAATGAAATCTTCTGAAAAATAAAGGTCAGGTAAGTGGGGCTTCCAGGCGCGTTGCGCCCTTTAGCCCATAAGAAATTTTGCCCAAGACCCAAGAGGAGGACCGAACCCCAGCCGACCAGCCGGTGACAAAACCAAAACCGTTGTTATTTACATCATATTAATAGTGTCACTTTTTAAATGTCACTTTTTGTGTCGCTTTTCACAAATTATATATGTTTTCATATTTTGTCACTTTTCTGTCACTTTTCGGGTAAAAACATTTTTATTATTATATATAAATGAATTTTACAAAACCACTGTTACCGTTCTTTGGAAATAAGAGTAGATGTAAAGATATTATATTGAGAGAACTTAAGAAACTACCGAATGGTCTAACATTTGTAGATTTGTTCGGTGGAAGTTTCTATATATCTCATTTATGTCATACCGTATTTCCTGACTCAAAGATTATATGCAATGACTTCGACAACTATATGGACCGTCTCAAATATATTCCAGACACAAACAATATATTGAAAGAGTTAAAAGAAAAGATACCTATAGGTAAGATGGAACGTATACCATTAGATAACAAAAATATTGTGAGAGAGGTTTTGAAAAAAGCAGAATATATAGACTGGGATAGTATATCTGCTAGACTATTATATAGTGGTTCTATAAGAGTTCATGACATTGAAACACTTATGTCAAAAGTTTTATATCTTAACTATACAAATGTTTTCAAAGAGGACATAGAAAAATATATTGAGAGTATAGAGTTTGTGAGATGTCATTGGACAGAGCTGTATGAAAAATATAAAGACAAGGAAAATGTTTTCTTTATAGTGGACCCGCCGTTCTATAACACATGGGATTTTCAATACCAAGTAGACTGGACTTTGAGAGACTCTTTAGAAACTTTAGACGTTATACATAACCATCCATGCTTTTACTTTACATCCGATAAAAGTGGTTTGGAAACCGTTATGAGATGGTTAGAGGACATACATGACTATGAGTTTATATATGAGTTAGTATACAAGTCATGGGTACGGCGGCACTGCGTTCCGCCTTACCCAATACTTGTGAATTTGACACTTTACAAAACCACTAACCACTTCACTAACGAACTCACTAATGTAAAAAATAAACGTTCTCACTATCGTTCTCACTAACGACTTCACTAATGTTCTCATAAATTTTCCTCAATATCTTCATCATCAGTGTTAACCCTATTGTAGTCATACTTGAAGCCATAAACTTTCTCTAACTTCTTAACGTACAATTTACATAACTTACCTTCGTCATCGTATGGTTTAATGATATAACTATTTCTATCTTTATACACAGTCAATGAAAAGTCAACTGGTCTCGGATGTATTTGAAAGAACATGTTATGCTCAGGAAGGAAGAATAAATGTTTAAATGTATGTTTGTTATACTGTGGAATTCGAATGAGTTGCTTTTGTTCTGTCATTTACATCCAAATAAAAATTTTCAGTAAAATAAAAAATAAACTTAAAAATTAATGATATCACCACTCCCACACGTATGAAAACATAGCACAAAAATAAATTTAGGTGAAGTGGTGAGATCTCACCTCTTTTTTCACCCGGTTTTTCACCCTGTTGAATTCATTGCTTTATAACTTTCTTCCTTTCTCCAACTCTTCTAGCTTCTTCCTAAGTTCAGCAATGTTGTCCTCATGAAGTTTAATCTTTCTCAAAATTCCTTCTTTATCTAATGGTTGCTTTATCTTTCTAAACTGAACTCTACCATCCTTCATAGTATGAATGTAAAAACCTTCTGGAACCGCTCCTGATTTAATGTATTCTACCAAAAACTTTTGTTTCATTGCTTCAGTGACTTTATTTGTCATTTCAATCAAATAAAAATTTTAATATTTAAATAAAAATAACGTTATTTTTTCAGTAAGGAAACGCAGGAGTTTTACGATTTATTTGAGGAGTAGGTTCTGGTTTAAATGTTGGAGTCGGTTTAGGAGTTGACTTTTGAACAGGAGTTTGTACTTCCATAGGTTCAGGAGTCATTGAAGGTTTTGCTTGTGAAGGCGTTGGTTTTGGCGAAGGTGTTGGAGTTTGTTTAACTTCAGCTACTTCAGTATTATTTACAACATTTGCTTTATTTCTTTTCAACATCATAACTGCTCCTGCTGTAGCTAGCAAACCTAGTGGGAGACCATATCTTATATAAGGACTTGACCAAATGCTATTTTTGACAGGAGCTGGTGGAACACCTAACCTTGGTGAGACTGCTCTTTGCCATTGTGCAGCTCGTAAGAAATATTCAATAGGTGCTCCATAATCGTTTGGTAAGTTTGTTTCATAGATGGTGAAGGTTCACGAGAGCTTGATGAAGAACTCATTTATAAGCTTTAAAAATAAACGTTCATCCTTTATTCTCACTGTCGTCCGTAGCTAAGTTATAGTCATCTAATCTTATTATGGGGATGCCATTAGCACGCACCTGAATGGCAAAGCAACAATCCCTCATAAATCCAATAAGTGGCTTTGGTACATTTTCAGTTGCTAGTTCAATAGGTCCTTTAACAGACAATTTGTATGTTATTGGAGCAGTAGATGTTTGACCTTGCTGGAAGCAAAAGTCCACTTCTGTTGGAAAACCACATAAGAAATGTGTGTTGTCATAGCTATCCCATTTATGTTCCACACTACCATCATCCACCAATGACCTCATAACATCTTCATTAAATCCTATCATATCATTGTTTGTATTGCAAGCGTTCGCAACCATTTCATAAAATACAGGTCCATATGATTTTTCAGGTTCTGCAGGCATATTTCCATAAGCTCCCATGGAAAGCTGAAGATATTAAACTTAGGGTTCTCAAAATTAACATAATAGTTGTCTTTCTTTCTAAATAGTGCCCAAATACTTTTAACATTAATAGGCGTATAAGCTGCTGTAAATGTTGCACTTGAACTATCTGTATTCTTTGAGAATGAACCGTCCATAGGAATCCAATCCATAACTTTAACAGGAAAACATAAAGCCTCGTTTGTATAATGTTCTACAAGTTCTGTATAAATGTTAGGGTCTAAAGAGAATGACTTTGGATGAATGAAACATTCATTAAAATCCATCTTTGTTCGAAATAGTTGCTGGGTTACAGTTGTAATAGTAACTGTTCCACTAGCTTCTACTGCCTTCGTTATCATAGTGAATGGTTCATTCCATGGAACAAATTTATTTGTCGGTGGATTTGAATCTGAAGCAAATGCAACTTTAAGAGTTGGATTGAAAGCAATGATATCATTTACAGATATAGATGTGCATTGTAAGGCGTCGCTACTGAACTTTACTTTAAGCTGAATGTTTCCTGCAAAAGCTGGAATAAATCGAATAGCTTCTAATGGAAGGAATCTTCTAACAGGAATTCTTAAACGAAGCTTAAAATCAAATGATTTTCCTGCTGTAATTGGACCACTAACAATTTGTCCTGTTCTGCATGTTCCCGAATGACTCCATACATCTTCATGTCGAGTCTTTGAGAAAACATCTACTTTCTTTATTTGTTCGGTAGTTTGTGAGTTTGAAGTTATATATGCTTCTTCTCTTGCGTTGTCTTGAGAATATACGATACGACCATTTGCAAGGATTTGATATCCAGCAACTGCATAGAAAGCGTCATCGAAACCAATCCAAAATCCTGGTGGGTTTGTTTTATTGGAACCTGAACCAATTTCTTTATCTACAATAAATTGACCTTCCATTTTATACGTAATGAATGTATTGTAAAGGTCCAACATATTTTCACCAGGAGGTGAGAGATTGAATGTTACCCATGTGTTATCTTTAGCAGTTCCAGGTTGTGATGGAATCTTTGCGTCAGAATATTTTCTATTAGTGTCACCAATTTGAACTGCATTGTCTATGATATCGAAATATGAGCGAATCTGATGAATATGCTCTGCTGGAGTAAATTCGTTTAGCTGTTCGTTCTGCATGTATTTACTTCAGATAAAAATATCTATTTACTTCATTATTCTCACTCTTCTTCTTGGCATTCGTGGTGGAAGTTGTTTCTTGACATTTTCAATGAACTGTACATTCTCTTTTGTCTCAACTTCTTTCACTGGTGGGTCAGGGTTCTTTGACTCGGTTTGTTTTTCAATGAAATTCACGAACTTTGCAATAAGCTCTTGGTTCGTTATTGAAAGTACATCTGGCTTCTTTTCTTCTTGTTCTATTGGTGTCTCAGTTTGAACAGAAGGTTTTATATGGGCTTCGTGGACTTCACCCTTGCCATACACCTTAATGTTGTCGCTTTCTGCATTCGCTAATGGAACCTTTCTTTTTCTTTGTAATATTTTACATCTTTACTCTGACTTACGTAATAGAAAGGATGTTGTATTCCTCTTGCGTCATTTAATATAATAGACTCTCGCTCTGATTTTGACAAGCTCATTTTACATCGGTTAAAGTTTTAATTTTGTTTTTTATCTGCAGTCAAATGACTCAGACAAGCCCTACGGACAAGACCCAAGGGGTCATAGATGTTGAAGCATTGAAGAAAGAAATTCGTGAGCAAATTTTATCCGAACTGAAGGAACAAAAACAAGAACAAAAGCCAGAGAGACCAAAGAGAAAACTTAGTGAAAAACAACTTGCTGCATTAGCTGCTGGAAGACAAAAGAACCCACGTTTGCTGGCGAAGAAAGCTAGAGAAGAAGCTGAAGCAAAAGCTAAAGAAGCTGAAGCAAAGAAAGAGTAAATGGTTTATTTTTATCCGAATTAATGTATAGACAAATACCAATATCTGTTGCGTTCAGTAGTGAAAACCCTGACGTCAAAATAAAGGGGAACAGAGTAACGTTTAAGTTTCCAACAGACTGGATTGTGAACATAAATGAAGAGAAGTACATTGGCATAACATCTATGTATATAACACGTGCTTTCAGAAAGGTTGACTTTATACTTCAAGTCGAGATAGAAAATGACGAACAGTCTTTATGCGCCCAAAACATTCACATATACAAATACTTTAAAGACGATACAACATTGCAACAATGTATGATTTCATTTAATGAGATGTTCGAGAAAAAGTTCAACATTGAAGTACAAACTTTACAGCCTTTACGTGAGTTTCTTGCACAACTGAAAGAAGAAGGTAGTCAGCCACAACTTATAGACTTTCATTATGAATTTAATGAAAATGAAGATGGAACACATGACTGTCAGTTTGTTGTATTCTCACCATTCAATGAAGTCGCTAAAGAGAAAGAAAATCCATTACGTATAAGATTTCAAATCTCTGAACCAAGTGATGATTTCAAGAATGTTTTCAATTATGATGCAATGCTTCCGAGGAAAAATGAATTTTCAAAGATTGTAACACCTGGCATTTGGGATAGAAAGCAAGCTATATTATATTCAAACTTAAGTAAGGGAGTTGAAAATGAGTTCATTGGTCATACAAGAACTACACCACTGCCAAATCCTAAATACTATAAATTAACTGGCTTCAATCGTGAGTTTTGGATAGACATGTTCTCCACTCATGACCATAACTGCCCAGTGTTCTTACCTCCAGACCATAAGGACTGTCTCTACATTGAAGCACAACTCTTAAACTCTACCATCGCAGTATTGTAAATGACCACATGGGCTTCGCCCTTGCCGCTAGCGGCTTATTTTTATCACGAATGACCTCATTGCTGACAAAAATAAATGACCTCATTATTTTTCTCATTCATGACCTCAGAACTTAAGCTTTCTTATGAATGAAGTCTTAGTCTGAATAGAAAAGTTAAACTTCTCTTCAAATGCAGGTGTAGCAGACTTACATAAGTCGAATGCAATCTCTTGACCGTCATAAAGTGCTTTATATAACTTCATAACACTGAACTCAGAGTCTTTGTCAAATTTTCCTTGCGGAACCATTAAACCTTTATCTTCATCATAGAAACACTGAACAGAGTCAGGAAACATTTCATTAGCGGTTAAAGCAATAACATCTTGCTTCACGCCTTTCATTCTGCAGTGAAATGCAAATTCATTTAAATCATTCGTGAGTAAGTCTATGTAAGTCTTCTTTCCACAAAATATTGACTTGTATGCTAAACTTTGTTTTCCAGGTGTTATTTCTGCAAAGTCGCTATGAAATTGACCAAGGTTTTTACCAATGAGAACTCTTCCATAACGTTTCTCAAACTCTTCAGCTAAACGAGGGATATCTTCATTGTAGAGATGCATACTGTCGGTATCGCTATAAAAGATGTCCATTCCTAAGTCTTCAGCAGTACAGAATACTTCACACATTATTCTCTTCGACATAGACAGAATATTAACACCAAGTGGACAGAAGTTAAAGTGTCTGCAAATGCTTTTCGTTAGCTTGAAAATAGTTTTATCTGAACCATCCAAACCTTCGAACTTCACTATATGGTTGTAGTTTCTGATGGCATATCTTATAGCATCTTTGTCATTTACTATGGTTATTTTTGACTCAATAGGAGATAGAATAGTTTTGCCATAAATACTGTTCAGAATGAGCTTTATATTTTCTTGCAAAGGATTTCCTTCTTTCTTATACTTTAACCTTAACTCAAACAACTTCTTTACTTCATCTCTTATTCTAATATCTCTGTTTCCATCGTAATAGTATCCTTGCAACACTTCACATTTGACACCTTGATATTTTATGAGGTCTTGTAATGTTATATGGTCAACATACATTAAACAGCAAGTGTTTGAACTTCTGGGAACGTTAAGTTCTGGATTTAGTTCAGGGTCACAAACTATTAAAGGAAAGTGTCTATGTATTCCAATCTCTGTTATCTTAATGAGAACAAAGAAGCCAGACATAAACTTTTCACCAATGGGTTCCTTTTGGTCGTCATCGAATAAATGTCTCATGAGATACTCTGTGCTTAACATTTCTTTCTTCAATACTTTGGAATACCTTCTAAAGTATAAGTCTTGCTATAGCTGATGGATATAATGAAACAGCGTCGAAGTCAGCAATGAGTTTCTTTTCGCTCTTTTGTTTAATGTTATCTGACAACATACATCTTCCACCTTGAATACAGCGTGAAATAAATTCTCTTGGTTTATTTGAGAGGTCATATAAATTTCCATTCGGGAAGTACACTCTGTTCTCAAATAATTTGTTAGCAATTGAACAAATACTAACGTAGTCATAAACGTTTAAATCAAATTCTTTCAATATGTCATTGCGGAACTTAACAAAACCTTCTCTTAAAATTCTTACATCTTGTTTGCAATAAAATGTGCTATACTTTTCTAAGTCGAAGTGGTTTCATCTATTCTGCAACCTTTGATGGAATCTATGTTTTTCATGAATGTTCAATATCTTTTACAAACTTACATGCTTCAGAAATGACACCAGTTCTGTTGTCATTTGCTAACAAAACTGCTGTAGTAGTTATATGGAAATACTTCTTTCGGTCCTGTTTGTAAGTTAAACATAGCAGGAAATAGTTTAAGCTTCTTATTTATAACACTGTAAGAGTCTTTTATAATAATTGCCCTTCCTTTATATAAGCCAGTTATTTGCATTGTTCGTGAACCTTTAATGATGGGAGTTCCTTTCACTTCTGTCATGTGTCTTAAGATGAAGTTTATATCATAACTGAGGTTATGGAAATATATTAAACTCTTGTCAGGAAGTCGTCCAAAAATTCTGTTGCACAGTTCTGACCCCAAATGCTTTCACTCACTGAACCATCTTCACTGTCGTAACATATGTTAAAAGCTTTATGAAAGCCATCGGTACTGCACTCAAAGTCAGCAAAGAAAACGTGCTCAGGAATGAACTTGCACTTATTTTTATTTACTTCTTTTGACTCGGCTTTCTTCTTCAGTTGTACACAATACTTTAGAGCATATGACAAGTCTTTAAATGGTGCAAGGTTCTGTTTATATAAGTCAGTAGTATATGTGAAAAGTTCTCCATAAGAAATAGGTTCGAAATATTTGCACTCCCACAATGTTTTCATAACATCCCATAACGGTGTAGTTCTATCCATGCGAACTACATATTTATCTTCTCTCTTTGTATAAATCTTCATCTGTTTCTCAATGTTCATTCCACCACACTCCTTCAAGATTTCTATATAGTTGCGAATGAAATATGTTGTCATTGGTAATCTTTCGTTTAGCATGTAGTGGTCTTCAACAAGAAGTAAGTCAATAGTTCTAACAGTTTCACATTCTTTTGGTATGTATCTCTTTATTTCATTATGTCTTGAGTCATTGAAATAACCAATGGTAACATTAAATGCTATACCTGTTGAAGAAATTTCTTGTACTTTACTTTGAGGAAAGTCTCTAACACGAATGACTTCTCTCATGTGGTCAATAGTTTCTTCATTTACTCCAGCCTGAATGCAAGCATAAACGAAACAATTGTCTTCTGTCATAAGTGTTGCAGTTCTTTTGTTCAGTTCATTGAAGATTTGGTAGCGTTCAAGATTTATAGGTAATGTGCAAAGATACTTCCAGAACTGACCGCTTCTCTTTCTTATAAAACTTCTTTTCACCATTATCTTTCCAAAAGCTTTCTATAAGTGCTGGGTTTCCTGTTTGCTTAAGAGCTTCCAAAATGGCTTTCTGGTCATTTGTCAGTGTGCTTTCATCTCTATATGGTCTCTTTTTTGGTTTGCCTTTCTTTACATCTGACATCGTTAAGCCTTCATATTCTGTTAAATCATACATCTTTATTTCGTAAGATTCTTTATGTTTGTCAAGAAGAAGTCATAGTGCATTTCAACAATACCTGCAGCATTTGCTTCTATCTCTGATATAAAGTTCTCCTTCAAGAGCTGATGTAGTAATGTTCCAATATTATTGAGGTTTAACGTAGAACATTCATACTTTCCACCAAGTTTATAACATACCATCCATCTCTGTTGTGAGTTTATTTTAATCTTCTCTAAGAGTCTCATGAAAACCTTACCGAAATGTTTGTGTAAGTAGTCTCTGTTTGGTTCATCTAAAGCTTCGATGTTAAAGTCAATGAGTCTATTGCCTGTCTTAACATTCCTCTTCCTATTCTCTTCATCTTTCTTTAACCATCTCTCACCTTCTTTTGGTTTGTCGTCAATGGAACGAATGACATCGTTAGCTTTGCGAACTTGTTCTATAGCGCTCTTAAACATCTCTCTTCTCTGTTGTTTCAGTGTGTCGTCTCTTCTTCTTGTTTCACCAACGTTTGCATTTGTTATGTCAAACATTTCTCTTCTTACTTCATGAGGTACTGAACGTCTATGATATAAGTCAATAGCAACGTCATTTAAAGGAAATGCTCTTGCATGGACTTCGTCCTCGCCGCGTTGCGGCTTTATGAACTCATGAATTCTATCATAACTTATTGCACCATTATAGTCATTGAGGATGTCAGCGAGTGCTTTTTTGTTTGTTGCGTAATGCTTTGCAACATCTATATTAGCTTCTGTAAGAAGTTGTTTTATTTCCGAGTGTTCTAACTTAGACAACTTCCGATACATCTTTAGTAGGAAATAAAAAAATATTTTTTGAAAAAATTAGATTAGATTTTTTTAAGTTATTTTTCAAAATAATTTAATATTTTTATTTTAATGAAACACATGCAAGATTGCAAGTTCTTTTCATACAATGCTCTCGCTACTGCCATCAAGAATGAGTTCAATAATGCTTCAAATGTTAATGTTATCTTTAACAAGAAGTTTGTGAAAGAATCTAAGTTTGGTCAGTATGTCAGACCATTAGCTATCGTCATTGACCGCAAACGTTATACTTCACAAGAGTTAGCAGTAGTTTTGAAACAAAAGAGTTTCTTCGTGAATGTCAAAGATACTCATTATACTGTTATAAAGAACTCTAATATTGACTTCTTCAGTATTGCTTTAAATCTTTCCGAACAGAAAGAATATAAGAAAGGGTGAAACAAATGTGAAATATTATCCTTCATCTCTGAAAACAATAACGAACAAAGATGTTATACAGAAATTCTTACCAAAGGTTGAAGAAGCTTCTATTGACATTGACGAAGGAAGTGAAATGGTTGAAGAAATAGACCCTGAAGCTTTATAAGCAAAAATATATTTTTGGGTAGTCTTCATATGGATATTTTACAACAATTCCCCAATGTATAAACTTTTCATACGCTTTTTCATAAGCTTTATATACCTTCAGAAATTTTGCATAATCTTTAGAAGCATTTAGATATTGTTTAAATGCTTTGTATGTCTTCAGAAATTTTGCATAATCTTTTACATGTTGTTCGTTCTCTTCTTCTGTCATGAGTTCTGAATATTCTAAATTCATGTTCTTTCATATGAGATAAAATTTTATAAAAAAAATAAAATTAGCTTAGATTTTTTTATTCTTCCTCTTTGAAGTTATCGAAATATTCTGTTATTTTTTCCTTCAGTAATGTTAAGTCTTCTTTAAATGTAAGTATTGTGCAACCTTTGATGTCATAGTGTGTTTGAGGAAGAGTATTTTTGACAATTTCCTTTATTTGCTCAGTCGGTGTCATTGAAATCGGTAAGTTTTCACGATAGAACCAGTTTCTGTCAGATTTATATATTTTAGCTAAGTCATAAAAGCTCTTGTTGTTTCTTCTGACTAAATGCAACATAACCATATCTTTATCTTCTTCTTTCTCCAACTCTTCAGTATATATCATATACCTATAACTCTTTTCCTTTCCTTTTGGTACTGAACGCGGTATTCTTTTCTGTATGCTTTTGTCTTTGGATTCAATGACTTCATCTTTTGCATGAAGTTTCTTTTCCATCTCTCCACGTTCTGCTTTATATAGTTCATCTAACATCATGAAAATATAACAAGCATAACGAGGTGAAGCCCACATTGCTACAGCATTTACTAAAAGTCTATGAACATAATAACCTTTCAAACCAGGAGCCAAATTCTTGCGATTTTCATACGGAATCTCTTCCCCCGGTTTTCCGAGGGAAGCAATCATATGAGGAAATTCTTCTAAAAGTTCTTTTGTCTGTTGGTTTTCAAACCAATGATATGCTTGCTTTGTAGAACGAAGAGCGTTCATTATACTTTGCATTTGGTACATGTCATCTTTGACTGAACGAATGAGACGTAACTGTTTGTTATACTGTATGTACTCGTATTCTTCATTTATAGCTTCATGGACTATAACTGTTGTTGTGTTCTCTAATGTTGACATTACTGTCTTTACATACAAAATAAAAAAAATTTGTTAGAAAAAAATTAGCGTTATTTTCTGACTTTCACAAAAGACCAAAAATAAACGCTTTACATGTATTTTTCAGCAACTTCGTCAAATAATTTTATAGCTTTATCTATCTCATCTACTTCAAACGTTTCTTTACCTTTCGTGGGAGCACCATACATTTTCTCAAAAACTTCAAGCAGTTCTGTTTCAGCAGCTCTCATATCATTAACGAACACAACCTTGACTCTATTGACTGTACTGTCATATCTTTGAGTTATATTATATGTCCTTCCTATCTTATATCTTTTTTGTTGAAGTCCTTCGGTTTCTGAACGATGTAAAGTAAGCCTTCACTGCAACGTTCTGAGTCGAATGAACCATATGTTATGAAGTTATATCCAACAACTGGGTCTAACCATAACAAAACTATTGGTATAAGACTTTTGTCTATAAGATATGCTCTTGTTCCATGAAATGCTACTGATATCATAAGCTCCGGATTTCTTGTCAAAATTTTCTGAGTTGAAGCATTTCTAACCCAGTAGTTTGTTTTCTTTTCAGATGGAGATATAATGTCTGACAAAGAATATTTGTTGTATTTCTTTGAGTATCTTACGTTTAAATCACCTATTCTAACTACTTTGGTGTCATTGTCAATCTTTCTAACTGTTTCAAACTCAATGTTTGACATTACTGTCTTTACATACAAAATAAAAATTTTTCTTAGAAAAAAATTAGCGTTATTTTTCTAACTAATGAAATTCATGAAATTTGGTCATTTTTCAGACAAAAAATAATGTTTAGGGTAGAAGGGTAGATCTAACCCGATAACTACCCTCTTTCCTACCCCAGTTATTTTATAACCGTTTTACATGGTAAACGTTATGAATTCGTGAGATTCTAAACAATTTCGTAGCTTCTATTTCTTCTTTTAGTACATCGAATGTTTTAACAATGCCGAAGGTTTCTTTATACTTCTTCTTGACGTCAGACAGAAGGAAATCTTCTGCTGTTGGATAGTTTTTATTAAGAAATGTCAACATATCCATTTTATCTTCTGCTGGCTTTTCTGCTTCTTTCTTTAAGTCTGCATAGTCGTTTCGCATTCTTTCTATCTCTTTGACTGAGTAGTTATATTTTCTTATTGCTGCTTTACATTTTGAACATTGCGGCATCGTTTTTGCGTTATACATTGAAACATTACCAGCTAAAATAACTAAAGCGTCAATTGCTCTCTTCATCTCAAACATAGCGGGTCTTATTTGTTCATTCCATACTTTACCTCTTCTATCTTTATCTCTTATCTGCCATACACATTTTGCAACTAATGAAACAAAGTTATCGTATGTCTTAAATTCTTCGGATTTGTAAAGGTCAGAAATATTTTTATAAACCATGTCGCAATCTTTGTCCATAACTTTATGGTTGCAATGAAAACCAAGGAATTCATAATTTACTTTACGTATGAATTTCTTAATTTCTACTGAGTCAGTTGCTTTGACTTCAATTTCGTCGAATTCAGGAATAGTTAGTTTTTGCTGCTGAATTTCAGGTAGTTTAGGCAAATGGTCGATGAGGTCCTCCATTTCATAAAGATACTGTTCATTTGTTTCATCTTTCGCACTACAGTCTAAATTACTTGTTAAAAGTTCCTGCTTTATTCTTTGTATTTCTGTTTCGAAAGTATATGAAGAAGGAATAAAGCTTTTCATCTCTACCAACATTGACGTAGGATTCATGACTAATGAATTTGGTGAAGTTGTTGTGGACAGAGTCCCGCCGTTCGTGGCTTGAATTGTTGTTGTGCCGATTGTTGAAATCATATCTTTTATACAAAATAAAAAAATAAATAAAAATAAAACTAACTTTATTTTTTCTGTCTTAAGGAAATTCATGAAAATTCGTGAAAATTCATGAAAATTCAAGAGGGTAGAAATGAGGGTAGAAATGAAGTTAGATCTAACCATCTACCATAAACATTATTTTTGGTGAATTCAATAAAAATAAATGGTTCATTTACTCACAATATTTTTGTACAAAACGACCCCAAACTTTTAACTTCTTTTCTGCAGTTTCTAATGCTATCTTAGCGAGTTCATATTCTCTAAATTCTCTCTTTAAATCTTCTTGTTCCCATTGGTCTAGTTCGTATGGAGAATCTCTATAACCATAACATATCTCACGTTCATGTTCTAATTGTTTTTCGCGCATTTTTCTAACTTCTTCTTCAAACAAAGGTTTTGCATTCTCTACTGTATCTTCGAGTTCTTCTTCATCTAACTTCTCATGAACTTTCTTGTCTATGGAGTCCATAATATCTTTGACATAAAATGCATACTTTACAGAGCACCATTCAGCAACAAAATGAACGAGGTCAGGATGTATGTAAATACCTTTGAATTCATTTATAACACCCTTAGTAAGCTCATAAAATGCTTGTTTTGAGGTTGAGCCACTTTTGGCTCGACCGTATTCTTTCAACCAAAACTCAAGAATTTCCTGCATTTTAGCACTATTGAGAAATCTGTTTAAATGGTTTAACCTTCCCGCTTCTCTTGCCATCTTTGTTGCATTAATGTAACTATCCTTGTCTCTACGTAAGACTTCAATACCATTATAAGTGCCTTTTGTGAATGTTTCGCCATTAGATTTGTTCGTGAACGTCTGTGCTTCGACTGACATTTCTGTTCTTACATACAAAATAAAAAAATAAATAAAAATAAAACTAACTTTATTTTTTCTATCTTAAGGAAATTCATGAAAATTCATGAGGGTAGAAATGAGGGTAGAAATGAGGGTAGAAATGAGGTTAGATATACCCATCTACCCTAAAAATTATTTTTGTTCATGGGCTATGCCCCGCCGCTTTGCGTCTTTATGTTAAAATAAATGGTACCATTAATGATATCATGACTGTTCTCATTCATGTCTGATTTACATCTAATGAAAAAGTTTAGAAGAATTTTCTTATTCTTTCTGGTTTATTTTTGTCTTTCCAGTACTCCCGCTCTAATGGTCCCAGATGTGTTGACTTTGACTCTCTCAAGTTCTTAGATGGTATAACATCTTCAACGCCTCCTTCATATCTTACTTTATAAGTGTCATCGTTTATGTTGTAGCCAAGTATTTCAATAACCACTCCTCGCTTTGCTTCGTCAATGGTTTCAGCAAGTTTGCCATCAATACTTTCTATAGCAACAGTTGAGAAGGATTTATGTGTATGTTCTTTATCTGCTTTTTTATCTAACATTGCTGGTAGTTTATATGTTTCAAAGTTTCTGACATGACCTTCAATGTTCATACATTTAC